ATTCTTCATCAGACGAGGTGTCCTCCTCTTCGACGTCTGGGAGTGATTGCGTGGTGCTCTCATTGATCAGTTCAGACGCTGGAGGCGGTGTTGGTGTGTGGGCTAAGGCTCTGGCGGCAACCTCAGCCATGATCTCCTCTGCTTTGCTGAGCAGCCGACCATGGAAAGCTGACTCCCTCTCAGACATACGGTTCGCCATGGCCTCGGCCATGCGGTCCATTGCCGACTGCATTGTGGTCTCTATGGCCGGAGTCAGATGCTCAGTGATGTTGATCGCCGAGATGCTCGGGCTGACGTGCCGTCGTCCATCACGTTGCTGGGAGTGACGTTCGCCAAGGCTACGTGCGATGTAGCAGGCCCTTCCACGCGCGGGGTTGCGACGGCGGGGGCTTGACACTCTGGCACTGGCTCCGAGTCGTTCCTGGCTGACAAGTCAGCCGCGACGTTGAGGGCCGAGGCGACAAGACGCTTTGTGTCGTTTCCTGTCATCCTGACCCAGATTTGTCCGGCCATCTCGCAATACTCCATGCCAGCAGTCGCCGCAGCCGTGGCCATGAAGGAGTGTGACGCGGCGGTCATCACTATCGAGCCCATGGCGACAGAGGCTGTGAAGCTCGCCGCATTTGCCCCCCCACACACAACGCTCATGTACTCCGTGTTCGCCATCATCCTGCACGACACCAGGCCGCTAGCATTGCACAGCGACCCGCGCAGCGTGAAAATGACCAGTGACGCACTCGTTTTCATGTGGCCCAGCTTGGCGATGGCCACGGCTCCCAATGTTGCGATCAACGCCACAGCCGCCAATCCGACATGGAGTGTCGCCGCAGCAGCCGCGAAGATGACAGCGTTCATGACTCGATTGAACATCCCGGTGCCAATCAAGTAGTCGGCCGCCATGCACAGTGAAAATGCTACTGCGACCGCGAATGTCGCTGCTGTTGTCGCCTTGAACCGGACATCACGACCACTGCGACGCTTCTGCCGCCTGACGTTCTTTGCTTCGCCGGATTTGTCGTCCACGGGGTCTAACGTGTCAGAAGACGATTCTCCAGAATCTGACTTTTCTGAAATGTCTCCGACTCCGGCGGCATTAAGGCCGTCTGGGGCGTCAACTTCATCAGGCGTGGCCTCCTGGGGGGTTGCTTCGATGATCGGCTCAGTCTGTGCGGTGAGGTCCATGATTGGCTGCTGTTGATCGGTGAAACTTGAGGACTGATTGTTGTGTGGTATTGCTCTGCATCAGATTTCCGGGTTTAGGGTTTTCGAGTGCCTCCATTCTCGTGTGAGGGCATGTGAGGGCAACCGAAGCACTGGAGCCCATGTGGGTTCTATATAAGGGTCACTGTAAGGGTTCATATAGGGGTTCCTTTAAGGGTCTCTTTGAGGGTACTATATGGTTTAGGGTTTAGGGTATAAGGGTCCCTACATGGGTAGTTCTCTGGTTTAGGGTCCCTTTTGGGGTCCTTTGTATAAGGGTGCCGTACGATTGTTGGGATCTAAAAAGGGACGCTAATTTGGAGAACCATCCGTATTGCAGGAGACTCAACTTGCGCCAAGAACCTCAGAATGAGACCACATTGGTCGCAGTGAGGGCTAAGCTGATCGAATCTAAGCGCTTCAAACTGCGCTAAACCCTAAACTTTACATCCCCAAACCCTACGCCTGAACCGCGAACGCCCAAATCTTTAGTCCCAAAGCCCTATACCATAACCAGGCGAAACTGAAGTCCCAAACCCTAAACCCCATACCCTCAACCTTCATCCTACCTGCCAAACCCGATATCCCATACTCCGAACCTCAGTCCTACGCCCCAAGCCCTAACATAGAAGTCTGAATTACTAACACTGCTCATCCTTAAGGCTCCTTCTTGTTATGATCGCAAGATTTCAAACACTCCAGTTCAACTGTTAAGCCCTGTATCATACCTGAATAAACCTGATCCCCTGAACCCAAAGCCCCCTAAACCCTATCCCCAAAGCCCCATCCCCTGAACCCTAAACCCTATCCCCAGCAAGGCCGGGCTGCGGAAATGTTGTTCGCTGCAGCAAAGACCAGAAGCTGCGGCGCGCATGTTGCAGGCCTCGAGAAAACCCACCGCAGGGTTCAGGGTTTAAGGGTTTTGGGGTTAGGGTTAAGGGTTTAGGGATTTCGACATGGTACACTTCTCGATTTGTGCGGTAGGCGGTTTAGGGTTTAGGGCTCTAGGATAAAATGCTAGATCATACCGTGCTATACTAAACCATGGCCTCCTGGACTATATCATACAGTACAATAGGGTACAGGGTTTACACAGGTTGATCCACATTCCTAAGCCAACTTTCCTTATCCTCTTCTAAAATAGGACCCTGCAGAAATCTGATAATAGGGTGTTGGGGGGAGGGGGGGGGGGGGGGGTATTCGAGTACAAGTCCAAGTACAAATAAGGAAGGACCACAACCCCGCGTCTATTTGGGTGGTTGTCAATATTAGGGTCCCTTTTCGGGTCCTTATTATAATACGGCACCTAATGTTTAGGGTACCCCAAAAGGGACCCTAATTTTGACGAACCACCCATTTGTGTGTCAACTCAACTCGATACATCGAAACGGAACATAACCCACTGCAGCTAGGAGTCTGACTACTACCTACTTGTCGGGTATCATGGGGAACTAAAGGTTAACCTTTTTGGTTATATAGGGATTATATGTAGGGACTATACTACCCAAAAAAGGTTAAAGGTTGCCTACTCGACTTCGAGGATTAGTCAGGGTCCAAATCCTACGTGTTAGGGTTTAGGGTGCTGTCTTGCTTCCAGAAACCGAGATTGCTGTCCCCTGAGCATAGTACTCTTTTTCAACACGGAACATGGTATTGGCCATGTTCTTCCGACAGCAAGAGATAGTCATCTTGCATGTTTCGAGCTGCAATTGTTGGACTACCACATACCAAAGTTCAGGTCTTTGCTCGAACCTGAACCCTGAGTTCAAAACGAGAGCGGTCGAGGTTTAGAGACACAGACTTCAGATTCGTGGATTAGAGCTTGGTCCGGGATCTTCTTACGGAAGTTGAAACTGCCACAACAGGGCGACGTAGTCCGTATCATGCTTGCCTTGTTGTAGCAGCGTAATCTTTTAGAACCGTTCAGGTGTCCTGGACAAGAAACCAAACTTCAGACCCGTTTGGATTTGCTGTTCAACTGAGCGGCCCCTTCTTCACAAGCAGGATGGAATCGAACTTCTGCTCGGTGATGATTTTCTCGTACATGCTGCACGGCGGTTGTGCCCACGAGTATTCCTTGAAGGGCTGCTGTAGGAGTTCCCATAAGGGTTCTGTTAACGGTTCCTATGACTTGGAGGTTCATGGGTAGTTGTAAGTGGAGTTCTACGTAGGGTGGCTATGACTATTACCCATATTAGGGGACTTATAACTTGTAACCCTGCCTATAACCATTCAAGTAAAGTTCATGGAGGCCCTGGACCCAGCTCTGAAAAAGAAGAAGTACCCCGCTTCGACACCCTCAAAGTCCTCCACCCGCCCTTCACCCACACGAAAACATAGAAACCCATTGATCTGATCAAGAAAACCATCAGAAGGCATACATGGAACATGCATATGAAACTTGAATGTGACGTGAAGACTCTGCAAGGATATACCACCAGGGATCACGGCCAAACAGCGCTCTAGGTGTTACTCCTACCGTAAACTATGACCCCTAAAGCCTTAACTGGTACGGAAGACTAAAGCCTGTACGCAACTGCTATAAAGCATCGCAGGCACCCTACGCAATACCCGCACAAAACTACCTTATAGGACCTGTCCGCTGGAGGTTGCAGCCAAGGCGCCGGATACTTGGTGGTATCCTGAGCAGCGCAGGCTTCGCCCTCGACACCCCATAAGCCCTATGGGTTCCTTAAAGGGATCTATATGGTTCCTTAAAGGGGTCTGTAGGGTTTAGGGAGTACTTAGAGGATCATGGGACTTAGTAAGTAGGTTATAATTGGGGTTATAAGTCCGCTAAGTGGGGGTATCCCAATTATAACCTACTTATAACCTTACTTACTAAGTCCCATGAGCCTTCAAGTAGCCCTGCAAATGCCACAAGCGAAAACCCTACCTTTTCTCGACAGGCTTTCCACTTCGTCCGGAAAGCCTAAAACCTGAACTTCATAAGAACCCTACATCCTAAACCCCACCTGAAGTCTAAGCTCTACAAGAACACAAAACCCTGCGGCTTCACGAGCCGGGCGGGTTGTTTAGTAACATAGGGGCCTCCATGCTCATCATAGGGTTTCAAGGGTTCTTAAAAAGGGTTCAACACTAAACATATTGGGGAAAAACTATTTTTTCTCAATATGTTTAGTGATCACTTTAAGGGTTACTAATTGTTAGGGCGAAAACTCACATTGGGGTTTCGGAGCCGCTAATTCTGAATTACTCAGACCAATCGCCATGAACCCTGAACCGTAAACCCCAAGGTGGACTCTTACATTCGGAATCTCCAGGCGAAGCTGTTCAGGTCGGAAGGCAGAGAAAACAATCCTACCATGAAAAAGGCGTTGTAAGGTATGATATTTGTACTGATATTCGTACAACTCCCACGGTTTGTCTCGATTACCACTATTCTTGCTATTGTTCTTATTAACAAGTATTGGTGAATGATTGCGATGATAATGATGATGATGATCATGTGGTTCTTACTATGTATTTTGTTGCTACTGTTATTGCTCTTATTAGTCTTCGTATTGCGGGCCTTGACAACTAGAAAACGGTTTAGGGCTTCCGCCGTGATAGCGGGGCCTTAGTAACTAGACAAGGGCGTTGGGGACTAATTAGGTAATGTTACCGGCGTCCACATCGCTGGTTCTGCTTGCCCCAAACGAATGACAGCTGCAAGTCCTTTTGCAAGTCCAACGAAAGGCCGGGGCCCAATTTCAGCCCACGGCCACAAGCACTACAAAAGCATGTCTTAATTTGGCGAGTCAGCTATTGCTGCTTCCTCAGGGATAACCCCGGCACTCTTAGCAACTCAAGAAGTCTTCGATCATCTGATGGTTCTGCCTCACCGAATATTCGCCCTGAGCCGCAAGGAGGTTTACCTGCGAGGGTGTCAGGCCCAGTGGGTCATTGGCATTCTGGCCGGTAGTAGCGTAGATCGGATAGCCCTTGAACTCGCCCTTCGCTCCTTCATGGATGTTCTGCTGCGTTGCTTCCGGCAGAGCACTCTCGAAGTCAGTGGAGGTTTCCAGGTAGAAGATGATAAACTCCAGCTGATTGCCTCCTTGAATGCCCCACCACGTGTTGGTCTGAACGGTAAGCTGCTCTTTCACAACTGCTGGTTTGCCCGCCTCCTTAAGAGCGACCACCTTTCGCATGAAGGGAAGCAGCTTATCTTTTTCAAAGACCTGGTTGTTTGTCAGGTACTCGGTCGTGTCTTCTTTGTTCACGTACCCGAAAAGGGTGTAGACTTGGTCCACAACTCCTGCTGCTATGGGATCGAAAGTCGCTTGCGTTGCACTTTTCCAGTCGTAGTTCGCTGCCAAAGCCCGGAAGCTGGAGCAAATCCATAGCGCCTTCCTAGGTTCGCCCTTCAAAGTCACTGAACACTGTTCGTAAGCAATATGGTAGGGTTTAGGGCTTCAAAGTCACTGAACACTATTCGTAAGTAATATGGCATGGTTTAGGGTTTCGGCGTTTTGGGATGAGGGTTTAGGGCTTCGGATAATGTAGGAACCTGATTAAGACACCCTGGGTCTTTATATGAATCCTACTATTGGGGGGTTAGAGGGCCAGGGTTTCTTAATCAGGTTCCTAGACTAATCAAGTAATATCCTCTTAAGCTCCATGAGGGAAAATACAAAATATCCCAGAGAGCTACCTAGCTTCCGAGCACCCCGCTGCAGCAGCGCCAGCATCCCTGAGTTGTCGACGCCGCCGCCGTCGCCGAACTGCCACACCTCATCTCTACACTCCTAAACCCTAAAACCCGAAATCCTAAACCCCTGAAGCCTCAACCCTAAGCCACACCTTCGCCATCTGTGGGCCCGGGAGTATGCTCGAAGTCACCGGCCAGTAGTTTGCTTGACTGTTCCTAGGCTGTTCGGTAACTGACTGTTTATGGGTTAATTAAATACATAGATTGTGTTACATTTTAGCGGGAACCCAGAAACAACAAAGTAAAATGTTTACCGCTGAACAGCCTTGATTCACAAACTTGCCCTCCCGCACCTCGGCGAAGACGCCGCCCAGACCCCAGCTGCTAATTCCAATGGCCCGAGGCAAAGCGAAAGCCGGACCCTGTGGCACTGGCATTTTGCCGCCGGACCTCTTCTTCAATAACCAGGCCCCCAAAAACCGGGGTTTAGGATCTAGGGTTAGAAGCTGCCCCCACCCTGTAATAGTCACTATAAGGATTATATTGGGGCCCTATTATATTCCTATTATACCACTATTACAGGGTGGGTGCAGCTTCTAAGGTTTAGGGTTGAAGTTCAATCCTGCTAACATGGGCTAAATATACAAAGCCGAAAAGCTTCAAGTTTCCCCATTGGCTGTCTAAGTGACTGTACTTTGGGTGCTGCGCCTCCGAAAGCAAAAGACTCGATCATGCCACCGCCAACGATAAGTGTCTCGCCTTTGCAGCAAGAAGGACACTTACCGCCTGGACAGCAAGGAGCCGGCGGATAGGTTACCTTGGAGTCATTCGGGTAGAACGGGATCCCAATGTAGTCTGCGCACATCTGAAAGGAGACGGCGTTGCTTGTTGTTACCTGGAAATTCTTCGGTGCCGTCGATGTGCCGTTCATGACGAAGACTCGTGGTCTTCCAGGTTGCGGAGTCGTGAAACTCGCACTTGCCAAAGACGGGTTCTCTGACCTCGGTTGGCCTTTGAGGCCCCTGAAAAATACTTGTAAGTCAGATCCTCTTAAGTCCAATAATACGGCAAAAAATGAGATGCCCCAAAGGCCTACCTAGCGGCTTGATTCGCTCTACATCCGCAGCAGAGTCGGCAAGTCGCGGCGCGAAGCTGTCCAGGTTAAACGGTGACAGCACAAAGTCGGCGATGACTTTTTCCCAGGCTTCGTACTCGTGCACGAGGTCAGTCGCCAAGGCAGCAGCGATGATTGCAGCCGAGTTGCCTTTGGAAATCCCACTGGCGATCGGCGCCGTGGGCTGTGCCAGAAATTCCAGTGTCAGCTCTTCCGGCGTCGTCGGTGGGCCCAGGAGCGCATCAAGCTCGATAGGGTTCCCCTGATACTCCTTGGCGAACATCACCACGGAGGAGCACCATGCACCGCCGCTCACGGAGCTTATTCCTTCGAGCTTTGCAAGAAGATTCAGCTCGTTCAGCACCTTGTAGATGCCCGAAGAGAATGCAAAGGCTCGGGACCCTCCTCCGCTAACGCACATTGCCTGGACTAAGTTCTGTCCGTTGGGAAAAGTCGGACTCTGCGAGTTCACCTGGACTTTTAACCAACCAGGGAGAAAAGGTTAGTATATACACTTTTAGTTCATAAGGGTCCCCTTAGGAAGAAAGTATCAAAGTATGGTACTCCAAAGCTCCAGTCACGGCTGCCACATTGGCAAGAAAGGTAGCTTTGCTCGTGACTGGAACATCTATCGAGCTGGCGGCGCACCCCATCTTCGGCCCAAAGGAACATGTCCACTTGGAGCCACAACCCCTTGAGCATACGCATGCACAGGGCTCGCCGCTAACATGTATAGGTGGAGGCGCCAGAATGCGTGGCTTCAGGAAAGAAATCTGTCGGGACCCACGGAATTCACCAAGCCAAATATTACACTTGATGCCCGCGAATCCCGCCAACGGGCGGTGTTAGCTCAGCCTCAATGCGCCCCAACCCTAAACCCGATTCATGTAGGGACAGGAGGTTGATGCTGTCGAGGCAACGTGACAGACCGCAAGAACAATCGTTCCCAAAAGCTCCCATAGTGCCCAACATGGCCTTGACTTTGATCAAAGGGGAAAAGGAGGGACCCTTGATGGGGACCCCTACCCTATAATGGGCTATATAATGGGTATATAATGGCTATATTAAGGGTATATACCTAAGGGTCCTGGTTAAGGATCCCTCCTTTTACCCTTGGATTTGACCTCATGGAGAAGTCCATGTTACTAGTTATCCTGTTACCTATGCGGGCCTGGCACTCTGAACCCTAGACCTTAAAACCCTAAACCTTAAGACCTTAAATCCTAAACCCCTAAACCCCAAGCCCTGCCCTGAACTCCATTGAACCCTAAACTTGAAGCTCGCATGTCTACCCTTTAAAAGGTTCCTTTAAAGGTTCCTCTAAAAGGTTCCTTTACAGGCTCCTTTACGAAGTTCCTTTAAAGGCCCCGTTCAAGATTCCTTCAGAGGTCCCTTTAAAGGTTCCTGGAAAGTCACTTCCTTTTAACGGTTGCGACTGTTGCTAGACTTTTGGTGGCTAAACCCTAAACCCTAAACCCTAAGCCGATTATAGCAAAATTCGCACTAATTTCAGACCCGGGTCTTCTGCAGCCTACATCAGACATTCCGTCAGACAGAATTCCTGGGCCCGACATGACCTCTTCTTGCAGGGTACGGGGTATGGGGTATTAGGGTATTCGGGTATAGGGTATTAGGGTATTAGCGTATAGGGTTTAGGGTAGAGGGTACCGACGACAAGAAGGTGATAGTGATGACTATCTTGGTCATGGTAATGACAATGCTGCCGATTGTGGAGGGTGGCGATGATGATGGTGATGTGTTGCTGTTATGCTATCACGACTACAAACTTACAGGCATCGCTCAAGCAGCGGCAGTTGCCAGAACGACGGAGAGCAGAGAAGACTCTTCTGCCTGTCAGTCGGTGAGCCCTGCACCCCCGAAACTGGCTCCCATCCTTCTTTTTCGACAGGCACAGGGTGGTGACGCGTCTGTCTTTCCTACACCTCGTACCCTTGAACCTAAGCCTAAACCAGCCCACCGTACCGGAAACCTGGAAAACCCTAGTACCCTAAGATTCAATACTGCCCTAAACCCTGAAAACCCTAACACCCCAAAAGCCCCAAAGCTCCAAAACCCTAAACCCTCAATAAACCGTGAACCCTACCTATAGTCTCCATTGTAGTTCCTTTTTTTGGCTTATATTAAGGATCCTAAAAGGTAACCCCAAAAAGGAACTACAATGGAGACTATAGGTAGAACTTTAAGGCCCAGGCCCTAAAGCCTAAAAACCTAAACCCTCGACAGCGCATCTGCATCCCTCAGGAGTGGAACGACAGAAAATCAATACAGCGAGCACCTTGGCTGCAAAGCTTCATTTTGTAGGGGTTTAGTTAGGGTTTAGGCGTTTAGGATTTCGGGCTCCGGGTTTAGGATTTAGGGTGTAAGGTGCATTTAAGTTGTTGGGCTCTGGGGCTTTCGGGCATCCGGGTTTCGGGTGGAGGATTTCAAGTTTGAGGGCTGCTGTTCACGGTTTAGGGGTTTAGGGGTTTCGGGCTTTAGGGCCATTTTTCTACACAACCCAAAACCCTAAACCGCGCTTAGGATCCAATACTCCGGATCCTCAACGCCAAACTTGCCTGCCAATGCCCAAAGCCTCCCTCAAACCCCCTGGCTCCTAGTAGGGAAGGGTTACTTTACAGGGACGGGACCGTCATAGGTCTCCCTGCTGAGCGCCAAAGAGTTAAACCCAAATTCTGAATCCTAGGCACAACGGTTAAGGTTTTGGGGTGTAGTTTGGCCTTTGACGTAAGGTTGCAGGTGCAGTTTAAGGCTTTGGGTTTCTTTCACGAACACCTGTGAAATTAAAGCCCCAAAAAAAACCCTCATAAAGCTCCTATCTAAACCTCTTGGGAGCCGTGAAACAGAGTATACAGAGCCGCCTTTACTGGGCTACTGTAGGCTTCGGGGCGTCTTGCATGGGTGCCTTCCGGGGCGTCGGAGAAGCTCAGCAAACTCGGGCTTATGGTTTATAGGGTTTAGGGTGTAGGGTTCAGGGCGAGGATCTAGGCTTTTGAGGCTTGCGGTTTAGGGTCCCATAACATAAGCAACTATTCAGGCCGCCTGTATTGGGGTTTAGGATGTGGGGACCTGAGTGAGAAACCCTGGCCTGTAACCCCAAATAGAGTAGGATTCATATAAGGAACCCTTAGAAAGGGTCAAGGTTTCGAAAATCAGGTTCCTACATTCGGCCTTAAACCGAATCGGCACCCGAGTAGCCGTCTCATCCTCTTTGTGAGAATTGCGACATGTAGGCTGCTGCCTCAGGCTTTAGGGTTTAGGGCTTAGGTGGTAGGGTATAGGATGGGATGAATCATCTCAAACTTGGCGTAGGTCTTGGGAACAAAAGCCACGGGCTGGGGAATCCGAGGCCTGATAGAGCTACGTCACTCCGTTCTGTGCTGTGCTGCTGTATGTTTTGCAACTGGTCGTGTGCATCAAGCCATGAAGACCCTACATGCAGATGCTCACACTCGCAGAAGAGCTGATCCGGAAAACCAAGCAAAATGAGTATACTGTTTCATGCCCAGGCCTGACAATTTCTGAAAGATTGAGGTGGGACTTTCCGAAAATAGGGGACCCTAATCAAGTACTCCCAACAATTGAATCCTTATTATAAGGACCCCAAAACAAGGTACCCCTGATTTTCGGAAACTCGTAGCGAAGTGAGGTGTTCTTCTCTTCAGGATCCTCTTCTGCGGAATGTCGGACCTAAATTTCTTTGGACTAAGGCCAAAATCCTGTGCGGGGCCTTGATGATTAGACCAGGGTTTTGGGGCCCATTATACTACAAAAATATACTAAGGAATCCCCACAATAGTATGGGTAAGGATTAAGACCCCGATATTATACAACCAAACGGCCAAACCAGCCTTGGCAATAGAGGTGTTGCGGGGATTAAGTTCCACCGCGTCAGAAGCTCATGTACATGGGAGCCCTTACACCCTGAAACCCCTAAAGCCTAAACCATAGATCCCAAAACCCTTAACCAAACAGCCGGAGGGCAGCTGCACGCAGGCGCGTGTTCAGTGCAATCTTCAGATCTTTGATCTCCTTGTCAATGTCCTCGCAACATTTAGGGGCTCCACAAGGGTGCTTTGCAAGGCTCTACAAGCATCCAAGGGCTCTATAAGGTTCGATATAAGTTCTTTCAGGGCTGTATAAGGCTTCTGTTAGGGTGTTTTCGGATATCGACGGAGGTTTCACGACCGAAAGCGCAAAGCCCGAAAACGCGAAACCCTGCAACCATTCTCCAAAGCCTGCATGAAACCCTTGGAAGATCCGTGTAAGACCTTCCAACTATCTTAAAACAAAACTCAACAAACCCTAGGGTTTAGGGTCTAGGAGTTTAGCGGCTTAGGAATTTATGGGTTTAGGATCGCGTTTATGGTTTAGCCTGAAAATCGGGCCCTTGACTCAGGAGTTCTTGCGACCTGTGACCGCCAAACCAGGTCTGGAAGAAAACTCTTCACCCTAACATAGGGGCCTTAACAATTAGAATAGGGTTTTGGGGCCCATTATGCCATAGTTATAATAAGGAGCCCCCACAAATAGTATTGGTAAGCCTTTAGGCCCCTAGAGTAACAGCAAAACCTGAAACGACAAAGCATACGACCGCCAATCCACTCAAGGGGGCTTAGGGTTTAGGGTTCAGGGTTTAGGGTTTCGGGTTTAGGCCGGTTTAGGGTTTAGGGTTTAGGATTTAGGGTTTCGGGTCTAGGGTTTAGGGGGGCCTCCATAAACTCGATAATGAAGTCCACGATCCGTTCTTTCATCATCTCCTGGTATCGGGCTTTTGGTTCAAGAGCTTTGCTTCGGAGCCGCTTTCGAGAGTGGGGTGCTGGGGCTTTAAGCTAGGGTGAAGGGTTTAGGGTTTAAGGTTGAGGGTTTAGGGTTTAATGCTTAGGGTTTAGGGCTTAGGGTGTAGGGTAGGGTTTGAGGAGCTTGCGTTTTGAGTTTTAGGTTTAGGGTCTTAAGCTTCCAACTGTGCTTAGGGCATAGGATTCGGGTTTGCAGGGTTTGAGGACTCGGCTTCGAGTTCATATAGGTGCCCTGATATGGCGTTCGGGGCATATTTTCCTATAGTTCTGTTCGGGGGTTCCTGCGGAAAAATATGATCCATTACCCTACACCCTGAACCCTTCGGAATAAGATGATCCATTACCCTAAACCCTAAACCCTTCGGATTAACATGATGCATCAACCCTAAACCCTAAACCCTTCGGATTAATCTGATCCGTCAACCCTAAACCCTAAACCCTAAAGCTCCTATGATTCTGGCTCGAAGACAAGCGGCGGTTGGCTGGCAAGCTTCGGAGTTGGTCTCTTGCCCCCAGCCCCTAGACTCGACCCTAAACCCCTAAGAACGGAGCCTCAATCGTTCGAACAAGGCTTTGGGGTACATTTCCTGCAACTAGAGTGAGGACCCCGAAGGATTGAAGCACTCCCAACTTGTCAGCTCTATGTTTTGATGAGGGCCCTAAGGAATAGCACTACCAACTTGCCCGGCCCCCACAAAAATAAGACTCAGGGGCTGAGGACTTTGTGAGAAGATGAGTGCTCTGGGCTGTTAGGGAGCAGGAGTACGGTTTAGGGTTTAGGGAGTTTAGGGTTAGGGTTTAGGAAGTTTAGGGTATAGGGTTCAGCTCTAGAGAGCCCAGAATCCCAAGCTGCTGACCATAATATTCTGAACATCAACACATGCCTCCCCACCTCCAGGTGTGTGTTGGTGATGAGGAAGCTGATGTCATAGCCTGCCAACTTAACAGAGAGGGTCCGGGCTGATGCCGCTGCTGCAGAAACCCTATGAAACCCAGTATGAAATCCAACAACACTAATATTCAGGTTCCAATACCAATGCCATCTCGGCAATCTTACTACGGAAATGCTTCGGGCCTATGGCTAACTACGACTACCTGCGACGACTAGAATACCGTTGAGCTTATTGCATCACAGGTTGCTGTTTGATGCAAGAGGCCGACTCAGAATGTCAGAAAGCTACCTCATGATGAAGCCGCAGAGGACATGCCACCCAATTGCTACGCTGCACAAGCTCTCCTTCGGTGTTCTTCAGTCCCGTGAAAACTTCCAGGGCTCGTCGCTACGAGAATTTCAACCATCAGGTAGTATAGGGACCTTAACAACTAGACTAGGCCTGGGGCATCAAAAATAGTCTTCTAAGCTCATTGCATCAGGCAACCCAAAAAAGGAGCATTCGCAAGCATGCAGGCCCAATGATAGCTGCCCCGGCAGCCTAAATCCTAACCCCAAACCCAACCCGGCTTTCGTCCAGAAACACCCTCAATGTAAAGTTTGCAGCTTAGTGTGCACGGGGCTGTCGAAATTCAAGGGACTCTAGCTGGTTTAACGGGTTTAAGCTTCTGCAGGGTTGAGCGTTTCGTCCCAAACCCTAAACCCTAAACCCTGCAGTATAGGGCCTTGCAGCACCGCAAAGAACGCGAGCCTTCGATGGGCTTTCGCCGGAGGATAACGAAATGCTCGGCCCTTTGGGTGAAGAAGCGGGCGAACTTTCGGCAGAGCATCTTCCTCAAAGGACGCACGCTTCAGGGGTTGAGATTGGTGCTAAGGTTTAAGCTTAAGGTTTAAGCTTGCTTTATATTTTATCGCTCTGCAAAGGCGGTTTTAAAGTTTTCGGTGTTTACAAGGGCTGTGGTTTGGGTTTTGGTTTTGGGATAGAAACAAGACAGATGGTTCGGAAAAGCGAAACCATACTGTGTCAGTCAGAAAAGTACTCGTTTAATCCGCAACATTGGAAAACTTAAGAACTCAAAGTGAAACTCCTCTACCCGCTTACCCTTCTAGGGGTTGGTGCTTCTGCACGTCGGCTGGGCGTCACTTTAGTCTCGCAGGATGTATGGTTCAGCTCAGGGTTCGGAGGTGTCAAGATCACGGATTGGGGGTGTCTGGCTCAAACTTTGGGCTTGCGGCTGAGCAAAATCCAATTTGAACTCAGTCCGAGCGTCTCAGTATCGTCCGACTGCCGCACCTGCACAAGCTGACAACTACGACAATCACACCGTGAATCCGACAGAACCCTAGACCCTAAATCCCTAAAACCCTAACCCGTAGGCCCAAAACCAGGTGAGAGCGCCTGGTGTGCGTCTTGTATGTCCTCTCACTTTTCTTGGGGGGGTGGGTCCCGACCCTTAACTCCCAGAACTGCGGACTTCTGTCGCAGGCTGGCCCAAGCTCTAGTTCTGATCGAAGCTGTTTCCTTAGGGTCATATGCCGAACAAACCGATAATTACGGTGTGTTCGGCACTTGCTACAACCCACGTCGCCCAAACCATCCATGGGTGGTCCATGTTCTGGACGCAGAGCATCCATGGGTCAACCATGTTAACGGCCACTCAGACCAGATCTCATTGACGCAGAGCATTCATGGGTCAACCATATTAACGTCCACTCAGACCAAGTTTGCGCAGCGCGGTGCTCGCAAAAGTGGCTTTTACTGCAGCGGCAACACCCTTTTCGCTAAAACGATCGACCTGTCACAGGGATTCTCCGCCTCTCCTAGCACAACTTTTTAGTCATAATACACGTTTTCCCTAGGTTTTAGCACATTGCCTGTTTCAGCTACGCCACAAAACGCCGGTCACGTACCAGGCGCTCCTACCCAAAACCAACCCCATAACCCCAAAATCCCCAAAACACCCAAAACACGAAAACCCCAAACGCCCCGAACCCCAGAACCCGCAACCTCAATCTCCTCCAGACTGTGCCTTAAACCCGGCCCCAAACCCTGAAGCCTACTGGGCGGCGAGAGGATAAACTGACCAGTGCCCTGATACGAACGCTAGCAATTTTAATTGATATGGGAGTTTCGGAAAATTAGGGGTATCTTCTTTCGGGGTCTTTAGAATAAGGATCCTACTATTTAGGGTATTGTATTAGGGTCCCCTATTTTCGGAAACTCCCATATGGTTCGTAACTTAGTACTAGAACAGAAAGGAAAGCAGACGGTGTTTCAACAGCAATACTCGAATATTCCCAGAGAGCCCAATACCCCTTAATTAAGCAATATACCTTAAATCATTAGGGGAATCATATTATGATCTAAGCTATATTCCTTAATTAAGGGGTATTGGGCTCTCTGGGTTCCCATGGAAAAGGCGCCTTAATGCTCACGCGCACGGAGTTCACAGAGGGCTCCTCAGCGACCGGGGCTTCAAAGCCAACGCCGGGTTAAGGAGCCGAAGATCTACAAACTTGTGAGGGAGCTCCAGCCCTTGGTATCGAAACCCGAAAAACCCATCAATCCCTAAACCCCTAAGCCTATGAGTACCCTTATAGTAACCCTTATAGATCCCTTAAAGGAACCCTAAACCCCTTAATCCCTGAACCCCTCATCCCCCAAAACCCTAACCTTAAATCCTAAGTAGAGATGAGAGTGCATGCCGCATGCATGCCTTTCTGTCGAAGACGTTCAGGGGCCCCAAGCACGCTCCTCTGCGCCCTGGACCTCCAAAGGGTTTGGGGTTTCGGGTTACCATAAACCCTAAACTCTAGAACTCTAAACCCTTAAGCCCTCAGTTCCAAAACCCTTAAATCCCCAAACCCTCACTCCAAATCTCGCAGAAATGAATTCACCAACCCTTCACCTACGGTCCCAAGTGCGTACACAAACTAAAGGGAAGCATCCTATGATACGGGCCTGGGGCTGAAGTTTCGCGGAAGATTAATGCAGGAGCCTTAACAATTAGAACATCGTTTTGGGGAGTTCCTCATTATGACTATAGCATAATATACCCCAAAACCATCCAAAACCCGATCCGAATTATTGAAGCCCCTGTACTAAATTCTTATGATAGCCCTTATAGTAGCTCCTATAGGCCCCTTTCAAAAGGAACCCCATTCTAGTAGTAGTACCGGCCCCACGAAGGATGCCAGGCATCTATCAGGCACTTCTCGTTCTCATCGCGGGCGATTGTCAGCGGCTGCAGGACAACAGCAGCAGTGTCCTGATCAAGACCCGAGGTCGTTGGGCCTGTAAGGTCTGGGCCTCAGGGTTTGGATTTGTGTTCAGGGTTTAGGGTTTGTTCTTCAGGGTTCAGGGTTCAGGGTTTAGGGTTTAGGGTTTGTTTGAGGTTTACGGTGCACCTACCAGTTCTTCCTGCCCTACGGACACACCTCGTTTAGTCGCAGATCCTGAACCTACCCCCCCTCCACAAGCATAAAGCCTCTGCGTCTCCGGCTTGGGGCTTTTTGGGGTTTACTTGGAGAGGGAGGGGACGTAGTAAATAGGTTATAAGTAGGGATATAATTGGGGTAACTCCATTTAGGGCACTGATAACTCTACTTATAACCTACTTACTAAGTCCCCTGCCCTTCCAAGTAGGTCTGAGGTTCGGAATTTGGGCTTCACGGGTTTGCAGACATGGCTCACGGATAGGACCAGACCCAGGTCCTCTCTCTCTCTCTCTCTCTCTCTCTCTCTATGGTAAGTTCATGGTGACCCAAAGCACAATCATGACTTGCATTTAACGGGTCCTGAACCCATGCTCTCATCTAAAGTGTTTACTGTGCGTGCCTATTGGTGCAACCTGCACGGAAAGTAGATTTCGATCTTGCCCTTATCCTGTACAAACCCTACCTCCCCCTAAACTCTGAACCTTAAAGCCTAATCCCTAAAACTCAAAAGCAAACCTCCCGAGCTTTCGAATTTGGACGCGAGGTCCTTGAACTCAATCTCGGGTCTGTTTTGTCGTTCGACGACCTGCGCACCAAGGCCCTTACTCAACGAATCGAGGCTTATGCAAAGGGAGGGGGCCGTATGAATCAGGGCCTCTTTTGAGTGCTTCAGCCGAATCATTCTGTAGTGCACCAGCTGGTTTAGGGTTTATATAGGGTTCAGGGCCCTAAACCCTAAACCCCCGGGATTTCCGGCGCCTGCGACGGATAGTTTTGCACACAGAGTGCGGCATTCAGCGAATGGCGGATGACCTCCGAGTTTAGTTGCGGCGTTTCTTCTCAAGCGGCTTTCCTGGACCATACCCCTCTTTGGCTATGACGACGGGTCTTGGGGAACCATAGTCATGGGCTCTGCGGATCGTTGAAATGATTGTTGAGTGTGGGATTTCGTCCAAAAAGATTTGCACTGCTTTATCTGGACCTCCAATGGCTTGCACCCGAGGCCCAGATGCACAAGCCTACGGCCAAAACCCACGCAGGCCTCCAAGTATGGAGCCAAAGTATGCGCCATCCGCAAAAGCTACTAGGCCCAGACAGGGGCCAATGGGTCAGGCTAGAAGAGCGCCTCCTGAATTTAAACTGTCTAACAGTAAGCCTATAAAGGCGTACATGATAGGAGGGTTCTTGCAACCTTATGAAGGATCCTGCCTTTTGGGTTCGAACGCTCCAATATGGGGAGCTGAAGAGTTAGAATACTGTTCTGGGGCCCATCATACTATACCTATAACAAGGACACCAAAAAATGGTATTGGTGATGAGTTAAGTGCTTTAAACCCTAAAGTTACCCTAGACCCTACACCCTCAACCTTATATTATGTAAAGGTTCTGGGCTTTCGTCTCAAGGCTCAAAACCCGAGGCTGGTTTCGACGTACTTGAACAGCGTGAGAAACATAGCTCAGCAGCTGAAGCGGCCAGATCCGGACTGAGCCAAAAAGATGGCCCGTGCATAGGGAACTGGAAAACAAGGAGGTGGAGCCACATCAACAACTACCACACTAAGACCAAGTGGTCGACGATCGAATGAGCAGTCGCAACACCTTGTTACAATCTCAAAGCTCAAACATGAATAACAGCATCTCAGGGTAGAGAGTGGCTCTTTATGGAATGGAAATCACCCATTTACCCATTCCTTCCTTCCTCAAGTGGGCTAAGGGAAAGGGTGATGAGCTTTACTCGCACAATGCGCATATGCACGATGGTCTTGGCTTACAGCCTTTCCAGCAGCTTTGAGCAGCACCAAGAGCAGAGAGCCGGATCGGCAAACCTTCGGCTGCGCCTTCGGTGCCCTCTGCCTCAGGGAAACTACATGAAGTGGCAAATTGCCAAAAAAGGATAGCTTGCTGCTGCAAGGGATTTGTACAAAGCCTCTGCGAGATTTCACAGCGACCTCAGAAGAACTCACACACAAAAAGGACAACCAGAACGATGCGGCATCTTGGACAGCCCTGCACCATGCTGGATCTGGCGTGCTCTCTGCCTCTAAAACGGAGGCAAACACGGAATCGCCAACAAATTAAGTCATCCGTGTCTGATTGACACCTCTTTACAACATGTGCAACATTGATTATTTGAGGGGAATCTACCGCCATAATGGTACTTGAAGGCTCACGGGACTTAGTAAGTAAGGTTATAAGTAGGTTATAATTAGGACAACCCCACTTAGGGGACTTATAACCCCAATTATAGCCTACTTACTGAGTCCCATGATCCTGTAAGTAGGCGAGTGGATTGCAGATTTCAGACACGGACTTCGTTGCTTGAGGCCGGTTCCCGGGCCTTGCGCCCTTGCCAGGCCTTCCAGGCCAGACCTGCAAGCAGTGCGATCAGAAGTATGCTCCCGAGCACAATGATCACGGCAAGGCTTGTATCCAAGCCAGCTGAGCTCGCATTGCCTGTGGGTTCCTGAATTGAGTGAAGCTGACCGCACGAAAACTCCATTTAAAAACACCAAATAACAAAAAAAAACAAAAAAATGCAAGCCATTGACACCCTTCATGTCTCCAGCCGGGTTGCTGGCACCGAGTTTGAGCCTGCTTCTGTGTATGTCACTGTCGTCGTGGAAGTCGATGATGTCTCCGTTGCCGTTGCCGTGAACGTTGTGGTTGTCACCGTTTCTGCCGTTATGGTACTGGCGGTAGTTGTGCTGCTCTTCGTTGTCACTGAGGTCAAAGTTGTTGTCGTTGCGGTGATCGTGGTGCTGGCGGTGAAGGTGGTTGTGGCGGTGGTCGAACTGCTGACTGTTGTCTGTGTCGAAGTTGTTGCCGATGCCGTCGTGGTGCTACTGGCACTTTTCGTGGTTGTGGATGTTGTTGCCGATGCCGTCGTGGTGCTGCTAGCACTTTTCGTGGTTGTGGATGTTGTTGCCGATGCCGTCGTGGTGCTGCTAGCACTTTTCGTGGTGGTGGATGTGCTGCTCGTTGCTGTAGGAGATGTAGAAGTGGTCGAAAGAGTGGTCGTGCTGGTTGCACTTGTACTTGTGGTAGTAGGATTTGGATCCACAACAACAAAGTTCTTGCCAGCATACGCAGAGACGTAGACCAAGCCTGACTCATGTAAACTCAAGATGCAACACCCCCGAAACCCTAAACCCTAAGCCCCAAACACAAACAAGGTGATAAGGCAGTTGCCTGGTATTTTTGGGACTAGACATGCTTGCGCTTCAGGTCGTCAGGACTCTCGATTAAACCCAAAGTGCCCGATACCCTATATGGAAAAGGAACCTACGAGGATGCTACAAAGGTTCTTCGTTTGAACTAAGGACAATGTGAGTCAAGCGATGGTTTGGTGGCTGTTCGGCCTCACGGATCCCAAACCCAACCTTTCAGACCGCAACATCGGAACCGTAACACTCAACAAAGCACTTTCAAGCATCCCAAGTAACCGTTGGCAGCCGCTATACCTGAGTTGTTTTTGGAGCACAAGTAGAAACCATCTTTTAACTGCTTCTGAAGACTCTGATACCACGAAAAAACCTGACAAAAACATATCCAAGTATGGGAAAGATGCCCCTGTTTTCGTCAAGCACAGTGTTGTCCTTCACACTGTCAACGATAGAGGGGCTGGCCACCTGAGCTTTGGCTTTAATTCCTTTTAATATCTCTGCAAAGGAATTCCAAGTAATGCTCTCCTTAAATGATATATACTATACTATGTAGTATACCATGGTATACCTAGAGTACACTATTATACTATCATATGTAGATCCTCGCTACTCTCACATTCATGTTACCCTTTACGATGCGCACGCCAGGTCAAAACCTTCACTTTATCAGGACTCCGAGATGCTGCAAACATGATCTGAGCTTCGGTGTTGCTAGGCGATGCTTCTCATTGTACGAACACCACCTAAACAAAAACGCACATGTGTTCATGTTGTTGGCGGTAGAAGAGAGCTGAGTATTATATGCAGAGGACTTGTGGCTACTTTCATGACCTGGACTCTGCCTATGTTTACGAAAACAATATTATCCAACACTTCCGCCATAAAGGCCGCAACATTGGCTCAGCAAAACATCCCCGGGCCCTTATAAGGCCCCCCGGCCCAAACAAACCAAGGGTGCACGCGCACGCACACACACACACACATCAGTGTATGTCAGCCTGAAGCTTGGTAGCTTCAGAAGCAATGGGCCTTGTCATTCCTGCGCTATAGCCCGAACCACAAAATCCGCGCTAAGGGGGCTCCAATGTGCCACCCATTATCATGAGACATACCCTTGATGATCATTCAAATCATCCCAGCGATGGCCCGTATCAAATCCTTAACCTGCCCTGACTTTGTCCCAGCAAGCCCCTAAAAGAGAGTCACAACATGATTCGCTCAGTTCAAGCAATGGCCAGCATAGGCACAGTAGAAATATCCACGATCGTCATGCCTCCTCCATTCCCCATGCTTGCCACGTACGCAAAGCCTAACAGGTGCTTGAAAGACTGCAAGCATGATTGTTGTCATTGAGGCAGCATATTTCTCGTGGTTCCAATAACCATGTTGCAGTCACTACTGTGCCTGTGAACTCCTATTCGTACTATGATCCTTATTTTTAAGTTCAATGACTTGTGATTGTTGTCATGTGTTTTCTGAAGTGGGGTATAAAAACAAACAAGAAAGCAAGATGACGCTTTTTCACCTCTAGGAGCTACCAGCAACGCGGACAGCGAAAGGATAGTCGAGATGGTCTCGGGCACTGTCAACCACTGAGCCCACAATCGTAGGACTGGTCGGTGTGGAAATGTCGATTGCTGCCAAACCTATGTAGCCCAGTAGACATGCAGCTTATAAGGATCGTTCAGGAGACATCACCATACAACATCAGGTTCGGCAGCCCAGCAGCCACATTACCACTACTTCTGTTCCATGCAGGACACAAGAGAAACACAAAAAGAACAACAAGAAAACAACCGGTTTCCAAGAAGCTGAAGGAATTGTAGGCAACCACGAAAGCAATTGTGCCGTCGATCGCCATGCTCAGGGGCTGATCCATCACGCTGCTATCTGCCACCTCGCCCACTTTTGTGGGACTGGCGGGATTGGAGATGTCTAGCACCGCCAGCTTGTCTGTATGCTGACATGTGACATAAGCATAGTTTCCGACGATCGCGATGTCCGTGGGTCCATCAAGATCGCCTGCCGCCTGAAAGGTGCCCGCAAGTGTTGGATTGGTCTTTGTGGAAATGTCCACCACCACCAATCTGTCCGAGAACCAAGAAAGGGAGTAGGCGTAATTACCTGAAACGGCAATACTGCTGGCACCGTTGAGAACGTTTGGCGAATCTGAGATGGAGGAATAAGCGCCAACCACCGCTGGCGCTGTTGGCGTGCTCACATCAACCACCACCACACTGTCGGCCCAGTAGCCAGCCACATAGGCATAGCCACCTGAGTCCAATCTGTCCAATCGTGACACAGGGGTACAATGGGTAGAGGAATATCGGAAAAAGCGCTCTAGGGTAATCTTTGCGCTGGAATGAGTTTCGGAGAGGAAAAGTGCTAACGATTTGCCCCAGTAGCTTCCATCCAGGACAACGTTGTGTGCTCCATCAAGGTTAGTGCTATCCGTCAAGGAGGCTACTATCGTAGGACTGGCCGGCGTAGAGACGTCCAACACTACCAAGCTGTCAGCATTGTGACTGCACACATAGACATAGCCTCAGTTGGCCAAAGCCCATTCGACGCAGAATTGTACCCAATTTAAGTCGCAGGAGATGGGGTTGCAGCCAATGAGCTCTGCTTCTGCTGCCATCTACAGTATTTTCTGTTATTCTGTATTATAGTATACTCACTAGGTATGCCCCTTTCCAAAACTTCCGTGCGCTCTCAAACGTCACAATGTGCGTGGTAGTATCACTTCTTTACGAACATCCTTTCGTTCCTAGTTTTACTCATATTCCCCCCCTTCCGCCACCCCTCTCAAGCCAGGCAGACGGCTCCCATCGACAGCCATACCGCGGGCCCCATCCAGCAAGTTGTCGTTCACGTGGCCTTTGGTATCAAATTGGGCCGTGCTTGAAGGACCCCAAACCCTGCAATACACCCGAAAGCCACAAGTCAGTAGGCCACCCCATGCCACCCCTAACAAAGCCCTTTAGCTTCTTTTGGCTAGTCGGGGGACATCAGGGCAAATGAAAGGAAGTACAGGGCTGTAGGATTACTACAAGGTATTGTCGGGTTAGTATAAGGTTATGGGGGCAAGGGAAGACAAAAAGTTCGGGTCCACGCTGGGGCTGTGGGCTTGGAGTTAGGCTGGAGTCGGGGTGCTGTGTTCGGGTGGTGCTGAACCTGCGCGAAGACACCAAAGATCGATGTTCTTTAACATGGAAAGTCCTGTGCCCAGCCCTTAACCCCTCTTAATCCCTCCGCCCTGACCACCAGATTCCAAACTCTAACAGCGCTGGGCCCCAATATGATTGCTGTTCTCACCATGAAATGCTGTGATTGCTCAGATAAAATTCTCCTCCAAGACACCGAGGATGCCCTGGGAATGTACAAGTCGAAGCCTCAGACTCCATGCATACCAACAGAGCCCAAAGAAGAACCAAGCGCGAGAAGTTGGGGTTTTGTGGTGTGTCGTTCGTTGCTGGAATCATACTAGAAGTACCTGCCCAGTGCTCGAAGCTCCAGGATTGAGGTTCTGGATTCTCGAAGAAAGAGCTTCGAGTCCGTTTCCATGGAGATTGCAGCAAACGTGCAGTCAAGGTCTAGACCAGAGGGACAGGCGGCCTTGCCCGGAAACTGAAAAGGCAAAATGTGGTGGAAATCTTATCAGTGCGATTGATGCGATTGACAAGTATACATGGTGTATTGCCTCCCCACCCACAGCAAGTACTGCAGCAAGGACCTAACACTGTTGCCAAGTCACCTCCCTTCATAGTTTGCTTTGCCCCGGAGTAACAGTGAGTAATCCTACACCGGTCACAACTGCGACTGCTGCTGTGATCAGTGCTGGAGAAGCAGTAGTGTTGCGAATGTATTCTGTTGATAATCGTGAATGGCAGTGATGCCATGATAGCGTGTTTGGCATTGCTCTGGCTATTCGAAGTCATACTCTATCATGCTATGATTAAACTAACGATTATCTGTTTGAGGATTGTTACCATCATCACATCATCACCATCATGATCGTCATCACCGTCGCCATTCGTATTTCTCCGGTGGCTATCGTTGCTACCACTCCTGCTGCTAAGCCAAGTTAGGAGCCCGAACTTGAATCCACAAGTCCGGAGACTTGCATGTATTTGAGCTCCTGCAGAGAACAGATACCACCGCCATATAAGGGGTGTGTTGTGATTCATATCTCCCGGCCTGCCTGCAACTGCGCCCTGAACCCAAAAGACTCTGAGCCATACGGCCATACGGTGTATTCACAAGATGTAAGGCCAAGCCCTGACAGCTGGCCCGAATTTTCAATGCCAGATGCCGAGAGTGTGTACCTTGAGGCCGATGCTCTGGGATTCGGGGAGCTGCAGCTGAGCAGCAAGCAGCAAGCCAGCACCGCCCAGTGTTGGCCCGCCATGGCATTGGTGAGCTGTTAAATGCTGCCACGGGGAGGAAGAAGATTTTCTTAAGTTTCCGAAACATGTTCGTTCTTGTCATTGAGACCAGGAAACCAAAGAAGTTAGTGCAAAATGAAACTGCTGAAATTCTGCCTGAAAAAAATGTACAAGCCTGTACAATAGTCTGGAACACTCCAGCATGCCCGGCATGGGCACTGTGTGAAAAGAGCTACGACTACGACGACGACGACGACGACGACTACTACTACTACACTACTACTACTATTACTACTACTACTACTACTACTACTACTACTACTACTACTACTACTACTACTACTACTACTACTACTACTACTACTACTACTACTACTACTACTACTACTCCTACTCCTACTACTACTACTACTACTACTACTACTACTAATTACTACCAACGACGACGATGACCACAAGCGCTCCCACTCCTACCCCTACCCCCATGCCTACTCCAACGATAATTGTCATAGCAACGGAAACAACATACATTTTTCGCTCATTTGGGCCGTGGAATCCGCGTTCGGTTCCAGCCCGCTTCTTGGAAGACTGAAACTATAATCAAAGAAACTGAAACAGCGAGGCTCCCAGTCGAAGTCAGCCGTGTGCAGACCTCCTGCCGGACAGGGCAAGGCCTGTAAGGGCGGCGCCGAGATAACAACATATATCATGTAAGTATGTTACTGGTACTCTTATATATATATATATAGAGAGAGAGAGACAGAGAGGGATTTATTTATATCTATATTTATGTACTGTATATTTGTATAATGTATACTCACTCACCAGCACCACCACCACCAGCACCAGCACCAGCACCACCACTACTGCTTCCTTCACCACCAACACCAGCAGCAGCACCAAAACCAAGCACCAAACCCCAAACACCGACACCAACACCAACAACACCAACACTTGCCGCTGTTGGTGCGGCTATTCTTTTTTCATTTGCTCGGACCAATCAGTTTACGAGGCCAACAACTGTGCGAAGGCACGCTTCTGGGAGATCCTCTGAGAACTACTCCAGAATCGTTGTCTGGAACACGGCAGGGTTTTCTCGAGCGGCTCCGCGGAACAGAGAAACATGAGCACAGACTCTCCGAGGGGGCCTCTGAAAGCGCCAGAAACATCATGCGGTCACTTATCTTGCCATGACCTGACCATGTTTCGATCTCGGGAGGCTTGGGTTGCATTGTGGGCGTTTTACATGCACCCCGGGAACCCCGTGCATCTTTGAAGGCCTCCCACATACGATAAAAGTGCCTGAGCTTTAAATGGAGGGTTTAGATTCCTACAGCCGATCCCGGAGAACTGCCTCACAAGGCACTGTGCTCATGCCTCATTTTGCGGGTCCACACATAGAGTTGTTCCGCGTGCGTCCCTGTATCTAGTCTTGCAAAATCAAACCTACAGTAAGGAGACGTTCCGGCCTGAAAGCTCATACATATATATGTATACGCATATGTTGAAAGCACATTGAGTTATTGCTTCTCTTATAGTGCCTCAGCGAATTGATCATTCTGCATACTCTGCGAGAATGTCTATGTTTTTAACTGAGGAAGCAGGGACGCATTTAGCAGACCGGTGAAACTGATCCAAGAATTTCCTGGAATTAGCACGACCCAGGCTTGATCACATCCTGACACGTATCCCGACCTACTAGATATAGACCTTTTACAGCTCTTCTGTGAACCCCCCTCCCCCCGCCGCCAAAAACCACAGAATTAAACATCAACGAACCTACCCTCAACTCAACAATAGACTCAATAGGCCCCCCCCAAGTTACACCACAACTACTCATGAAGCATCGAGTGGGTTTGTTCTCAGCAGAAAATGCCATAACACAAACAACCAGGAAGGTTTAATGCGAGGTAAATGAGAACCAAACATATGCTTCCTGTCCGCATCACCCGAGGAGAACCGAAGCTACGAAAGTCAAAATACTCCCCAGCATTGTCCCAGAAGACACCTCGCAGTACAGGGAGCTGATCGCTCCTTTAGGGTTCAGGGTGAACCTTTGGAAGCCCATGCCCTGCAGGCTCAAGCCCAGGCTGCACTCGGCTCAGTCGCCGACGCCGACGCCACGTGCCCAAGAACCGGAACCCGCGGACATGCATAGTTGTCGAAGTGCTCGCTTCGATGTCAAAGTCCCAGCGGGGATGCTCTGCACCAGGCTCCATGAAACTGCGTCAAAGACTCCGTTCATACTCCGAATTCACATGCAAGCAGGGATCTCATTCCTCAGACTCAGCACTTTGTCCTGCGGCAGTGTTCGTTCCGATTCGTTCAGTGCAACTCAGGGAAACCGCTTGCTGCTTTGGACAACATGAACAACTGGAACAAAGGCTTCTGCAGATTACTGCACAAGGGGAGCTGAAGAGACTGTAATTCGAAGTATTCCAGTTTCTGGATACCCCATGCCTCTCGCTTTGCAATTCTAGGCTATGCGAGGGAGCCCTAATCGGTAGGGAGGCCACGTTTGCTGAACAGGGACCCTGTGCGTGGTGGTCTGGCTCCTCACAAGGCAGCAGTGTCGTGGCTGAGGTTTGGAGGAGCGCTGTCTCACCTTGGCAGCGGGGGTTCCGCACCATGACGTCTTGAGAGCGGGGTGTGATCTGCCACTACCAAAGCGATGAGAACTGACACCTAGCTTGGAGAAGTCCTTCATAAGTCTAAACCGCAAACCTGCCCAGCCCCAACCAAAGAAGTCCATCCTTTGCTGAATTGGACCTCTGAGTCCTGCGCCACTATCGCAGAATCCCACATCCCTAACCACAAGCTGAAACCCCAAAGCCCTAAGCTCTAAAGCGTTCAGGCTGGAAATCCCAGCATTCACTCCGTGTGCCCCGGCAGCTCGGCACCATCGACCGCCGCCTTCGCACAGCAGGACTTTGTGAAAAAAACTCGGGCACATAGCGGACGAAGGACGCTCTGTAATACGATGACGAAGGAGGGCGGGTTTCAAGCGTTGAGAATTCGAAGTATTCCGAGATGCGGCTGCGCATGCGCTCCGTGAGTCGTCACGTCTACAGGCATGAGTGCTGACCTTTTCCAGACTCTGTGTTGCAAAGCTTGGACTGGAGACTTTCTGACCCGCCCCTCTTTGATGTGTCAAAATGCGTGCGGAACAGGAAAGTCCGGACCGGGAAAAAAGGGGCCCTAATCTTTAGAAATACTCTGCTGATACAGTCCCTCGGTAGTCATACTACATTGTATCCTCGAATCCCTGTCCTAATTACTATCGCTATACTGTAGCCCATATTATGGAAGTATTCTAGAACCCTTATAGTTAATACCCCCCTACAGCGACCCGTATACTTTTGAAGAAACCTATTCTACTTATCAAGGCCCCTACCCTGAGGGTTTAGGGTCTTGGGGCTGATTGGTTGTTGTGTTTTGGGGTTTGAGGGTTCATGAGTTCCAGGCTTTTGGGTTCCGTGGGCTACAGTAGAACTTTTCGTTCGGAGGGTACTTTTTCCTCACAAAGGTTTATGTTTCAGGTTTAGGCTTGTTTCTTGCGGGTTTGTGCCGCGACTTCCGTCTTCTATTTGATGCTCATGTGCGTGAGGATGGCAAGAAACCCCAACGTGGCCAAGCAGCAGAGAGGTTACTTGGAGGTTCATGGATAGTTATAGGTAGAGTTATAACGCAACTTTACTTATAACCCATATAAGGAGGCTTATAACAGAATTAATAACAACCCATCAAGCTCCAAGCATCGTTGAGCATAATGACCTACTTCAAATTTTTCACCCCCAAACCACTGTTGCCGCTACCTTACCACTGTTGACCATTCACGTACCATGTGCATACCTCTTGTATACACGCAGTAACTTAGTGTCACTGCCTGGCACTGATTGATGATTACAGAGGGGGGCCACTCAAGCGAAGCCAAAATTGCTAAGCTTGTTCGACCCCACATTTGGAGCCGCGTGTGCTGCAGTTGGTCCGCACCGAAAGTGGACGTCGGCGGCACTAGTGGCCGAACACGTTCCAGACACAGCAGCCAGAACACTTCCTTTTCCACCTTTGAGCTGCAGGCGGACTCACAGGATCTGGTCCAAACAGGTCAAAGTCGAATGCTTTCTCAGGCACATGTACCTTCTGGGAGAACTCTCAACTCCAACCTTGCACAGGCGAGGCCGTGGCGCTTCACAGCCCTCAGGAGTCCACTAACAAGAAAAACAGACTGCGCAGCACTCGATCTTTTTCTTGAGCTAAAAACATTCGAAGCAAAACGAAACGAGACAAAACGAGTGCGGTCACTAACCTGATTCAAAAGCAGTTCTTCCATTTGAGGCAGACCGAAAAACCTGTGTTGCGGGGGCGGCAGCGGCACGGGTCTGTGTTGCGCAGAGATGTGGATTTGCTGAGCAACAAAGTCGCTTGGAGCGCCTGCTGCGAGCGATCTTTTTTTTGTCGGTTTGTGACAGCGGATGCAACCATCCTGCGCAAAGACACACGCAACCATGAAGCAAAAAAGACCCGATTTGACGATGGAACTGACTCAGAGAGCAAAAAGAAATTGAAGCAGAGGTGCAATCTCCGAGAACAGCGAAAAGTGCAGTTCGGTCTTTTGAGGGAACGCAACCACTGGTCTAGCAACAGCAAATGCAATCAGAAGCAAGGCAGAGGCAAAGAATGTTGCAAATGGGTCTCTGCTAAAAGAGCAAAAAAAATCTGGCGAGAGCCAGGTGAGCCCATGTCGTGCATGAGGGGTTTTGGAGTTAAGCACCGTGCACAAATTCCGAACCGTCAGCCACACCTCTCGATACCATAACTCTACACAGCTCAAGAAGTCCTGTTCAGATCTGGTGGAGATACCTTCCAGAAAATTCCGCCGCTCTTGTATGATCTGTTCCGGCCCACCTTCTCGATACCATAACTCTGCATGGCTTGATCTGCTCTGTTCAGAAATGCTAGAGTCACCTCTGGCAAAAATTCTCTGTCTTTGTACGATCTCAAAGCTGCACAGTTATGGGGCTGTCGGGCGACCCCATTTTAAGGCCCGCAAAACACAAGCAATTCTGGCTTCGCGAGGTCGGCCCTCCACAGTTGCATTCCGCTGGCTGCAGCACTATTAAGGGCGAGCAACACAGCTGCTTTGGACAAGTTCCGACCTTCCAAACGGTCCTCCACCAGACGCTCCCCAAAGTCAATACAATCAATGACATGCGCAGCTGACGAGATTCAGCCGCTGTGGGTGCAGGAATCAAACTTGCGACCCCAAAAATGGGGCCGTCTCGCGGCCCCAGAAAAGGAGCCGCGAAATCCAGTCAACCTCCTTCAACATATTTTGACTGGCAACCAGAGGACCCCAAAATCGGGGCCGCTTGGCGGCCCCTATTTTGGGGTCGCGAATTCCTCATTTTGGGGCCCAAGCCCAAGCCCGTGCGTTCCACACTGCTACATCAAGGCGACTCGCCCACAGGCAGGCATCCAGTGTGGAAAAATCGTTCTCCAACAAGAATTTCCAACAGACAGCTTGCCTGTGGAAGTGATAGACATGAGAGAACAGAGGGGGGCCACTCAAGCGAAGCCAAAATTGCTAAGCTTGTTCGACCCCACATTTGGAGCCGCGTGTGCTGCAGTTGGTCCGCACCGAAAGTGGACGTCGGCGGCACTGGTGGCCGAACACGTTCCAGACACAGCAGCCAGAACACTTCCACCTTTGAGCTGCAGGCGGACTCATGGGACAAACAGGATCTGGTCCAAACAGGTCAAAGTCGATGCTTTCTCAGGCACAGGTACCTTCTGGGAGAACTCTCAACTCCAACCTTGCACAGGCGAGGCCGTGGCGCTTCACAGCTCTCAGGAGTCCACTAACAAGAAAAACAGAGTGCGCAGCACTCGATCTTTTTCTTGAGCTAAAAACATTCGAAGCAAAACGAAACGAGACAAAACGAGTGCGGTCACTAACCTGATTCAGCAGTTCTTCCATTTGAGGCAGACCGAAAAACCTGTGTTGCGGGGGCGGCAGCGGCACGGGTCTGTGTTGCGCAGAGATGTGGATTTGCTGAGCAACAAAGTCGCTTGGAGCGCCTGCTGCGAGCGATCTTTTTTTTGTCGGTTTGTGACAGCGGATGCAACCATCCTGCGCAAAGACACACGCAACCATGAAGCAAAAAAGATCCGATTTGACGATGGGACTGACTCAGAGAGCAAAAAGAAATTGAAGCAGAGGTGCAATCTCCGAGAACAGCGAAAAGTGCAGTTCGGTCTTTTGAGGGAACGCAACCACTGGTCTAGCAACAGCAAATGCAATCAGAAGCAAGGCAGAGGCAAAGAATGTTGCAAATGGGTCTCTGCAAAAAGAGAAAAAAAAATCTGGCGAGAGCCAGGTGAGCCCATGTCGTGCATGAGGGGTTTTGGAGTTAAGCACCGTGCACAAATTCCGAACCGTCAGCCACACCTCTCGATACCATAACTCTACACAGCTCAAGAAGTCCTGGTCAGATCTGGTGGAGATACCTTCCAGAAAATTCCGCCGCTCTTGTATGATCTGTTCCGGCCCACCTTCTCGATACCATAACTCTGCATGGCTTGATCTGCTCTGTTCAGAAATGCTAGAGTCACCTCTGGCAAAAATTCTCTGTCTTTGTAAGATCTCAAAGCTGCACAGTTATGGGGCTGTCGGGCGACCCCATTTTAAGGCCCGCAAAACACAAGCAATTCTGGCTTCGCGAGGTCGGCCCTCCACAGTACTTTGCCACTATACACATTGGCCGCTGCTGAGGAGCCCGGATGCCGCAGAAGGTCTGCCACTTCGTCATAAGCAGGACAAAACATGACTCGGACTCTGATATATGTGACCTCACTAGGCTGAGGTGCTGTGCTCCTCGTGTGCTTTGAGTACCCCGAACTTAAACTATGCAAACAAGCAGTCGATGCCTTGTGAGGCTTGATGATTAATCCCGACCTAAATTCTGACCCACACACTCCTGCTTGCAGGTTCGCTCCAACCCTGTGCCTCAAATCCTGAACAGCTCCGTGCAAATACGCCAATAGCACAGGAGTAAATTCCGACTCTCCTTATTGCTGTGATCCTTGCGGAGATGTCACAGTGCTTGCTGCAGCTACGCGGTGCTGCACCCTAAACCCTCAACCCTAAACACTAAACCCCGAACCCCAAATCCTGCAACAACACACCGGAAAGGCCTCCACCATCTGCATCAAGGTCAGGCTCCGAAGCGGCTTCGGGCGGAGGGGCATCTGTCGCGATTTGGGGTTGTGACATTAGGGTTCAGTTTAATCCGTGTCTCTATGTGGACCCCAGGCCTTCAAAGTGCCACTTTGGGTAGTTGAGGCCATGCATCAGCTTCAGGCCCTAGACATTTTGCACTCGATTGCAGCGTACGCAAATTGGGGACAACCACAGACGAGCAGTGCATCGACAACCAAGATCAACCAAGATGGGTTATGCATCTGCATTCGCACCGGAGGATCTCGACCCAAACATGCCCGGTCCATTTGACCGTCTGCATATGACAGCTACAGCCAGGAAGGGAATGCTGCAACGGTCCAGGAGAGATAATCACGCCCATCCAAAACACTGATTACCCGAAAGCGTAATCCATACACCTGAACCGTGTATCCCGAACCCTGCTGGGTTCAACTACCACAGCCGAAAACCTTCCTCGCCTCCTGAATGAGCTTGGAGGCAGTGTGCTTGGACAGCACATGTGCTCCGTCCTTCTGCAGGCTTAGGCTGCCGATGTGTACCGAACCCACCCACCATTTTGCTCCATTTTGAGGACCGCGGGGGGGGCCGAGGGGTTGAAGGAAGGTGGTTCAGTCTCCGCTTAGTGGCTTCAGGCCAGTAGGGAGCAGAACAAGGTGTTAGGGCATAATATACTAGAATCATCATCAAGACTCTCAGGAAATACTATTAATAACTACTCCGACCTTCATATTAAGGCGTCAGGTGGCAACAAGCTACACGCCTCCGCGGGCAGCTCTAGGCCTTGGGCTGTGCCATGCTTGCTTGTGCTCTAGGGTTTCTTTCTTAAATGCCTTTGTCCGTCTGCAGGTTGGCAAGTTAGCCTTTAAGGTTTGGGTTTGTCTAGGGTTGAGAGCTTAGGATTGAAGAATCTTGGAGCCTTATGGGATCGGGATTTCCGAATTTAAGTACCCTGCTCGGGTTTTCAGCTTCCCCCGACCGGAGTCCCCGGCGTGCGCGCAGCGCACGGCGCCGCCGACCCTGGTGCCCACGAGAATCCCATGAACGCAGCCCGGCGGTGACGGGCAGAACTCCGAGCCGAGAGCCTGCAAGGAGACAAGGTGCGGAAATGGCTTCATTTTCTTAGGAGCATTTATAATTAAAGTGTGATTCTGAAGTTTAGTATAGTATGCTTACAATAGGGAACCTTAGAGAATACTGCTGGAAATCATCTAAGCCCCTATTCTAGTATGTTCTAGTATATTTTCTCGTATGCATACTATCGTATGTCAGAATATGTTTTGCCATGCAATACAAAACTCTACATGCTGACGAAAGGAAACACCGAATGGAATGCTGATGAGCATTGCCATCAGGATCTTCTCAAAAATGGGCATCGGAAAAACATGCTCACTGTGAGTGAAACAAATACCCCCTTAGTCCCCACATGTTTATAGAGAAAGATACCCCAAGACCCTCATCCATGTAACTACGAAGGCATGGCATCAAGACGAGAAGCCCACTTCGCACCTTGCAGGACTCTAGGCTTTTGGGTTCAAGGACGCCCTCCTTATAGGAGCCCCTATAGACTTATAGTAGCTCTTACTTACAGAAACCCTTATTCTAAACTGCTTCCTGAACCCATGGTATCATCAAACCGAAGGCCCCTTCACAACTGAAGCTGAGCAGGATTCAAGCATGAGGCTCGGGGCATAAAGAAAGTGCAGAAAGGCTCAAGCGCTTCACACTTGAGGTTTTTGCACATCCAAAGCCCAAAGTACTACACAAAAACTCGGTAATATACTATGATGCACTGCAGTAAAACATAAAACGATAAACTGTAATATAACAAGATATGACCCTGAATCTCTGAACACACAAAGCCGATACCCCGAGGATCCCAAATCCAAGAACCGCCTGCAGCGCTGATGCGGCCAGCCTGGCGACTGTGCACTAGGCCTACACTTCTGCGGGGTTTTAAAAACCGAACCCTGAACCCTACACCCTAAACGGCCTCTGCCCCAGGGGCTGGCTCGGGTCCGCCGCGGCCAGCAGCGGGATCTTCAGCGCCTATAGTCTGGCTTAGTAGAGTAGAGAGTAGTACAGTATACTACAGTAGACTATGTTAAACTATTTTATATTATATAATGTAATGTAATGTAAGGTAGTATTCCTGCGATCTGGCTGCTACGACGACCACGATGACTCGCAGACTAGCACTAGTCACTACTCGTCCTGGAAGACGGCCTTCTTCCTGAGACAGCTGTCTGCGGGCATGCCTGGATTACAGCGACAGTTTAAGACTGAAGTTGTCCCAGCAAGTGCTTGGTCCAGGCCAAAAGCACATCGACCGCCAGGAATCACGAAGGGCAAGCATCTGTAGATGCGAAAGAAACTGCTGCTGGAGCTCGTCGAAGACACTTCTCAAGACAAAGTGGGACTGCTCCCAACCTATGACTTGTGACAACACGCTGACGACTAGAAAACAGACGCGCCTTTGCACCCGCACGAGCCGCAGTTTGTGCAGTGTGCCCTGCCAGTTACTGCTCATGTTGCCGCCGAGCTGCTGTAGGAACGAGGCAATGTGCTGTCACTCGCGAGTTTACCGTACTTGAAGTTACACATTGTGACGCGATCAAACAGCATGAACCAACCTCCTCCCACCTGCAACAGCCTCCCCGCGCCGCCTCCTCCTCCTCCTCCTCCTGCTGCTGCTGCTGCTGTTGCTGCTGCTGCTTGCGGAAGCTTGTCAAGACACGCCGTATCACTCAATCCGACGGAAGGCTCGTTGAAGTTTCCTCAAAGCCTTACGAGTAGCGTACTGATGACAAACAACGCTACACCTATGCTACAACCATGCTCCTATTCTCATGACCAGCGAAACCGTCTTTCTGCTGTCAGCGAAAAATCTAGCTAGTCTTCCCGACCATCCTATTTCGCTGATCCTTGCTCGTTCCACTCCAAGAACTGCCTCAAGCACTGCCCCTTTGAGAAATTGTCACCGCCCAGTGCACAGATTCAACCGCAAAGCGCCTCCCAGGTATCTGGCAAGGCAACATGCTCCAAGCGCTTCTTCTTCAGCTGCTGCTGCTGGTAGAGCGCCAACGCCTGCGTCTGGCGAATCGAGGACTTGTCCGTTTACTCTAACCCTTGCAACTCCCCGGCCCGGGAGTTCTGCCTTCCTGGGCGCCGAGCGGGTCTTCACACAATCCCCCTTATCCGGGAGCGGCCTGGAAAGTGACCACATCCTTCATTAGCGCCCATGCCGTGCGATCCAAGGCAGCGGCCGCCAGTGCCTTTAAGGGCTTGAGGGTCTGGGGTGCAATGCGAAAAGCCTGCGTGAATCTTCGGGAGTAGGGTTCCGGATGTAGCTGTTTACTGCAAAGTCGCAGCCTTCGTAGCAATGATGATGGCGATGATGATGCTTATGGCGGTGGTGGCGGCGGTGGCGGCGGCGGTGGCGGTGGCGGTGGCGGTGGCGGTGGCGGTGGCGGTGGCGGTGGTGATGGTGGTAAAGTAGAAGTAGAAGTAGAAGTAGAAGTAGAGGTAGAAGTAGAAGTAGTATTAGTAGTAGTAGTAGTAGTAATAATAATAGTAGTAGTAGTAGTAGTAGTAGTAGTAGGTTCTCCTATGATTTGGGATTGCACTGGTTTGTTTCAGTGCCTGGACGTGGTATTTAAAGTATTTCCTTGCTTTTCCGGCTTCAGCTCCTTGAAAGCTGTCCATAACCCGTGGACCCACGGACCTGGCTTTGCAAGGCCAGCATTGTGGCGTTCTGGCACATCACCTCCTCCTCCACGTCCTGTCAGGTTTGCTTAGGAGATCCTAGAACAAGCCGGACCTCTTGATTGCAGCAGCCTACTTTTCCCAAAAAGAAAAACAAACATCGTCAAGGACTTGTCGGTAATGAGAACTCTGGTCGCAGATAGACGGCAAGGAGAGTGGGAAGGAGCAAGCACGCGAGTTGAGAGCAGCGGAGTTGGAGGTGACAGGGCTACTCGACCAGAGTCTATGGCTGGCAGCGCGCCAGCAAAATCCTAAACCCTAAACCCCAAACCTGCCTCTTGCTTGTTCATCTCGAAACCTGCCCTATCGAGATACAGCGAGGCCCCTCTTCGAAACCCGAAGCGTAGGGTCCCTGATTTGTATCATAGGGTTCGAAGATATACCAGCTGCCCTAAACTTTAAACTTTAAGCCCCCAACATCCCTAAACCCCTAGACCCTTATGACCCTTCTGCCTTAGACATCCCTCAACCCCTACCTCAACCCTACACCCTTTCTTTGAGGCTTCTATACTTCAGATTGCTCAACCCTGAGCCCTAAACCCTATCCTAAGACTTCTAAACCCCAAACCCTACATCAAGGCTTCTCAACCCTCAACCCAATATCCTAAGACTTGTAAGCCTTGAACCCTTATGTTAAGTTTCCTAAAGACCCTACAATCAAGTCCTTGGCCCAGTCTCCCAGAAACGAAAGGAGCCGCTCATCCTTTAAGGCCTTGCAAAGCATCTTCTGACTAGAAAACGTGGTCGGGGTTTAGGGGTCAGGGTTTTGGGGGTTTAGGGTTTTTAAAGCGCTTTTGTTGCTATCCGCAGCAGGCAGCCTCTAGCCTAGCCCATTCGGGCAGGCGGGCAGGCAAGCCGACATTTGCAACAGCCTCCACAACACTCACAACGTCGACACCCTCCAGGTATATACTTGACCTCAGGCATCACGATCACTCCGGCGACGCCACAGCCCCACGCAAGCTTCTGAGCGAGAAACACGGCAAAGGTTTCTTCCCTGCAAGCGCATCACCTTACCATCGAGCAGCTGACCTCTCTATGCCAGAGCCTGTATAGGCGACGGCGAGTACCCTCAGTGGACACATCCAAACCCACATCTGCTACCTTCACCTCACGCAACTGCATGACGACCCCAAGTTCGGCAAGTGGCACTGCAACATCCTTGTAGACAGCACCCTCGAAAGCGCTGCAGCTCACAATCGCGACGGTTTTGCTGCTCCTCTTCCCGGTCTCGTTCTGCCTGCTGTGCCTCCAGGTGCGATTGTTCCGCCCGGCACAAGTTCTATGCGCAGCTTCATCTGCTTCGGGTCCTCTATCTCCTCTACAGTATCTCCTCCTGTGTGTTGCTCCACTCTCAAAGACATGAGGCCAGTAACTCCGGCATGACCAGTTGAACCCACGCTTCCATAGGCCCTGTTCATGGTAAAACTGCTCCGCGATCAGCCAGGGCACTCAGGAGGTCCGCTTGAAAGGGGGCCTGCATAACCCTGCCAGTTCTCTGGAAGTGCATCCACAGGGCTGCGCCACGTTGTTCACGGTGATACAGGCCCATATTCTGTAGCTCCGTCTTGAGGTCACGGATCCATTGCATCCAATCCGGGGGGTTCTTCCTGGACTCAGTGACCGCTTGTTCCATGGAGGTCTGCTCCTCCGATACGGCATCTACCTCAACATCCACAGTGTCGGCCGGTTGGTACGCTGTGTGGCTGAGGAACATCTGGGAACTATCTACAAACAACATGCCCAACACCCTCTTGAGCCCAATCTCCATCACCACCAGGTCGCGCAATGGGCCTGGATGAAGGATGCTCGCGGAGCCCTGTGGTCCGACGACGCGCTCATCCACTGCAGACTCTCTGTGAATCGCAAAAGGTGCATCCCGGAGACCCTGAGGGTTCCCTTGGAGGAGGCACCAGTCTGCGCGTCTCCCTGGTGCACCGGAGTCCCTCCTCAGTGCTCCCTCGCTGGTCCAGCGCTGCACACAGCACCATCATCTGCCACGGAGAGTGATCAATAAATGATCGTTGAGCAAGAACCGGATGTACTGGTGCTCCTTGACTTTCATTTGCTTCGTCGCCTCCGTCCAGCGCTCGGGTTCGGTCTCCATGTAATTCTCCATCTTGTGTATGAGGTACTCCAAAAACTTCAGGATGCCCTAGGGAATATAAAAGGAGTTCATACATAGTTTATAAGTATGGCATCTATGTATTCATTGCCAAAAATCTCCAGCTGGTCTTGGTAGCCTCTCCGCCACATCACGACCAAGGACCCTTGCGACCTTGCCTGGAACCTTGGTGTGAAGCAGCTTGGCATAGGCCTGGACGAGCGTTTCATCATCGCCCATCTTGACCTAGCCTAAAGTTCCTGGCAGCTTGGCTTGTAGACGGCTGCAATGCACGAGCCCTGAAACATGATTTTCCCCTTCTTCCTTCTTGGGGCCGTCCGGCCCACATCTTGACCTACCTGGAAGCTTGGCTTGAAGACGGCTGCCATGCACGAGCCTTGAAACATGATTCCCCCCCCCCCCCTTTTTCCTTCTTGGGGCCTGTCCGTCTCTGTCCGTCTCTGTCCGTCTCTGTCTCTCTGTCTCTCTGTCTCTCTGTCTCTCTGTCTCTCTGTCTCTCTGTCTCTCTGTCTCTCTGTCTCTCTGTCTCTCTGTCTCTCTGTCTCTCGGTCTCTCTGTCTCTCTGTCTCTCTGTCTCTCTGTCTCTCTGTCTCTCTGTCTCTCTGTCTCTCTGTCTCTCTGTCTCTCTGTCTCTCTGTCTCTCTGTCTCTCTGTCTCTCTGTCTCTCTGTCTCTCTGTCTCTCTGTCTCTCTGTCTCTCTGTCTCTCTGTCTCTCTGTCTCTGTGTCTCTGTGTCTCTGTGTCTCTGTGTCTGTGTGTGTGTGTCTCTCTCTCTCTCTCTCTCACTCTCTCTCTCGCTCTCTCTTTCTCTCTCTGCATCTCTCTCTATCCAGGTAATCTGTCTCTCTCGCCAAGTGGTCAGCCCGGGCCATCGTTTCTGCTTGAAGTTGGTCATCAAAAATAATAGAAACATTCACATCAAAATCAACAGAAAATCTCCATAAAATCAATATAAACTTTCAAATAAAGTCAATAGAAATTTTCCATAAACCCAATAGAAATGTTCCATAAAATCAATAGCAAGACCACGATTAAAATCAATAGAATCAATGGAATTCAACAGTTAAAATCAATAGAAACCTGTACCAACAAAAGTTCGAATGGATTGAATTTTCTTCAAATTCAATAGAAGTTTCGTGTGCCCCCAAAATCAAGCGGCCGATTGGCAACAATCAAGCTTGCGTCAGCTCAGGCTCTATGGACGTGCCTCGGGTGGCCCGGGGCTTCAGAGTCTCCTTGGTGAACGACTCGGCTGAAATCCAATTGACCATTTCGGTTGCTGGGGCGAGCGGGAGAGCGAAGTGACGGTGCCGCGCCGCGAGAATTCTGGGAGACGGTGCCAATGTCCGCCTCCATGCCACTTTTGCCTCCCATCCCGGCTACACTTGCTCAACCCGAGAGGGCTCACATTGAGGATGGGGCGTTGGAGGTTCGACAAGGACGAGGAGGGATGCTTCATCACCTCTGTGCTCCGCGGGATGTATGTACACATGCTAACGTGCCCCCAAGTGAAGGCCATCAGATGATGGCCCGAGACCAACTTGGTGGTCTCAACAGAGAGAAGGCTGGACACAGGTAGCAGGCAAGCGCATTGTAGGTCCTTTTCCAAGGAGTACATGGATGCAGTGCATTACTTTATGGCTGTCCTCGAGATTGAAATGCGCCAGGGGATGTTGACTTGCGACCTTGCCGGTTGTCTACAGCATCGCCATGGGACAGATTCCTGGACAAATTCGGATTCGCTCATGCGGCTGATGGATCAGCCCACGATGTCCCAGGAGGAGATGGCCGCTTGGCGGAGAGAAACACCACGACGACTGAGCGGATCAGGAGCCGCAGCAGGAGCAGGACACGTGAGGCAGGTCAAAATGGTGCTGACCTGATGGAAGGAGACAGGAGAGTCTCGAGGGGCCGCATTCTCCGGGGACTCGGGAGAATGGTAATTGAACCGTCCATGCGCAATCGTCCCAGGAGCTGACCGGGCGGCTCGGAGGTGATCAACGTCGACTCGATCTCCAGGAGAAGCTCGCCAGGTCCGCCAGGAGAAGCTCGCCAGCTAGGTCCTTTTCGAGATCCACAGGGACGCCTTTGAATGGCCAGGGCAGGCTACTGCCAGGGAAATTCAAGCCGAGACTGATCAAGCCCCGTGCAAAATTGAGTTGGCGAGAAGAGGACCTGAGCTGAAGCTTTTTTCAGTACACTGAAGCTTGCTCCCCGGATATAGCTGGCTTCAAGCTCCAGGCAGAGGAAAGGCCCTGGCTTCAAACTCCCGGCAGGTCCTAGCTAGGTCGACGGCTTCAAACTCCAGGCAGTTCAAGCAGGTTCTGGGCCCTAGGCTCCTTAAAGCCATGGGTAGCCCCGCAGCTGCTGGAGGAGGCGGCGAACGCAACTTCGCCAAGCCGGAGGTGTCTGGACGTGTTCGCGGGGTGTGTCCGGCTCCTAACTGTCCAGGCCTCCTTCAGCTTCGAGCCCTACGGCAACCTCAGCAAGACGAGTGCTGTCCAGGCCAAAGGCCTTTCCAAGGTTTTAACGACACCAGGTTCAAGGAGGCTTGCAGCAAGGCGACCCAGTTGGAGGTCAAGGATCTCGAGGAACTCAAGGCGATGCTTCTTCCAGAAGTGTCGACCTCGCCGGTCAAGCTCCAGGACGCCGCGACCCACAACACCAAGATGCCAAAAACAGGGATCCCGATGCCAACCCTGCGACGAAGCCGCCAAAGAAAGGGATGCCAGCCCCTGCAAACAGTCTGCTCAGAAGGATTCGGACCTTTGAGCCAGGAAGCCGAAGGCAGTCCCCTGCCGAGCAGCAAGGCTCGAATCAGGAAGTCTTGGAGATGGCGAGGTTTTGAAGAAGCCAGCTGCGTGCCATGTCTCAACCAACGTACACCCCGAGCAGAATCGTCATAAGGAGATCGGAGAACCGAGCCATATCGCCAGACCTGCAACAGGCACGCCCCCTGCCAGCAGACCCACGACAGTACGCTAAGGGGGAGAACCAACACAAAGCCTTGAGCCAAAATGGCTTGAACCAAGAAAGGTTTAGGGTTTAGTCTGTAAGGTTTAAGTTTTAGAAGTTTAAAGGTTTCGGGGTTTAAGGGTTTGGGACTTGGGCTTTAAGATTCAATGATTCAGGGATCTTCAGCAGGTGCACGAGCTCCACAGTGCCAAAACGCCTTCCAAAGCGCAGATGTGCCACATCACAAGACATAGGCATACTCAATAAGAACCCCGACTTGCAAACCAAGTAAGACCAGCCCGCTGGCCTTGCCAGTGAAGACCCAAGCTCTCCAGCCTCTCAGTCAACCCGATCCTTGATGCCGCAACCCGAAACAAAAACCACAACTACCCCTGAATTGCCAGAGGGCCGTCGTGATGCTGTGCGCTCCGGCCACCGTTGCCGCCCAGGCCTCTGGCAGGGAGCCAGAAGCGCCAGAACTGCCGTGCCAATATTAAAAAGCCCAAAATAGCAAACCCTAAACCAAACCCAAACCCCAACCTCTAGCCCTAAACCCGCAAACCCCTAGTGTTAACCTCATTGTTGTAAACACCTCCTCAATTCTAGAACCCGATCCCCAGAGCTCAATTATAAACACCCCCCTCAATTAGAAAACCCGATTCCCGGAACTCAATAATAATGCCGTCCCTGGTTCCTGAAAGAACGAGGCCCTTTTCTCAGCCATTCCAGAGTCACAGAGAGCGTAGTAGTACTCGGACGCCCCCCTCAATGATTATTCACCGCCCTGCCTGGTCCTGAAATGAATCGAGAAGGGGGAGGGTGCAAAACCCCAAACCCGAGCCCTAAACCCCTAAACCCCTAAACCCTAAAGCCTCGAACCCCTAAACCCCTAAACCCTAAAGCCTCGAACCCCTAAACCCCTAAACCCTAAAGCCTCGAACCCCTAAACCCCTAAACCCTAAAGCCTCGAACCCCTAAACCCCTAAACCCTAAAGCCTCGAACCCCTAAACCCCTAAACCCTAAAGCCTCGAACCCCTAAACCCCTAAACCCTAAAGCCTCGAACCCCTAAACCCCTAAACCCTAAAGCCTCGAACCCCTAAACCCCTAAACCCTAAAGCCTCGAACCCCTAAACCCCTAAACCCTAAAGCCTCGAACCCCTAAACCCCTAAACCCTAAAGCCTCGAACCCCTAAACCCCTAAACCCTAAAGCCTCGAACCCCTAAACCCCTAAACCCCCAAAACCCTAAGCCCCCGAACCCTAAGCCCTAAAGCCCCAAAACCCGGGCCTCAATCAAGACCTCCTGGCTCCGCTCCTCTGCTCGGACAGCCAGTTGCCAGGCTTCGTGCAGGGCCTGGCACTTAGGTTGATTTCCGTCTTGATAATAAAACGGTATCGAAAAGGCTATTATAAGGCTTGTCTAGTGATGGCTATAGGGTTGCTAGTCCTGGGATTTTGAAGATGTTGGGATATGTTTGGCTTTAGAAAAGTTCCATGAGGGTTTGTAAGGGTTGGCTCTCGGGCTTCTGGCACCTAGGTCCTAGGTTGTACGGTTTGAAACTTAAGCCTTTAGGGATTTTAGGGCTTAAGCGGCTTAAGGTTTAAGGGTTTCTGGTTTGGATTTTGCCGCTTGCTTTTATTGGCACGGCCTAAATGGGGTCACAGGGTTGCATGTTGCTGCACGTTGAGCCTTCATCCGTTTCGGTGTGATGTTCGCGAGTCGTTTCCGGAGAGTTTGGAAAGTGGTACCTGTCTTCGCCTCGAGCAGTGCCTCAAAGAGTCGAAGGTGGTCGGTACCATCTTGAAACTGCAGCAATGCTGCAATCTCAGGTGTTCCTTGATGCCACGCTGTTCGTCAGAAAGGCAATGCCGCTCAAACTAAGCGTTGCTCCGTACATGTTACTACTTAGACCCTGGATCGCTGAGGCTCTGAGATGAGATCTGGACATCATCAAATCCCACGCCTCAATCATGGCCCGAACCGAGCAAGCGAACCAAAGTGTAAAACTCATTCTCTGAGGGGATCCTCGACATGCTCCCAGCTAGAACCGAAACTACGACTCCTCCCTATGCTCTGAACCCTACACTCCAAGAACAAGGCTCGGCTCTCAAGCTGTGAATGTTCGGGCCTGGGTGTCCGCATCGCATTTCGTGAAGTTCTGCACTGCGGCCAAAGCTGTGTCCATTTGGTGCAGCGCTTTCGAGTGCCTGAGTTTCCAAGTCGAATTGGCAAAGTGCACCGTGGTACTTAGAGATTCATGGGAAGTTATGAAAGGGGTTCTATCTTGCCTAAGATGGGCTATATTGTATAGCTACCCTGCTTATAACCCCACTTATAACTACCCATAAACCTCCAAGTAGCTCAACTGATTACCGTACTCCTGCTGTTTCTGGTTCTGCTTTGGGTGGTGGAGGCCTCAGCTTTCTCCAGGCATGTCCCAAACCCATTCCCTGTGTACTTGTGGGATTTAATATAGGGGCCTCAATAATTAGAATAGAGTTTGGGGGCCCGTTAATATTAGCATTCTGAAGATGTGAAACGTTTTCGTTGGGTCAACAATGCTTCCCGCCATGTACTGGGGTTCAATAACTACGTTACCCAAATGAGGCCAGTGTACTGGAATTTGCTTAATGAATCAAAGCTTCCGGAAGGCTGGAGGACGCGGCCGGAGCGGGACTGTGTCAACGATGGGACATGAGCCCCAACATCTATCGCGCACGTGTGCAAACGCTTCGCGGGGACAGTAGCCGATTCCGCCTATACTTGTAACATCAGCACCCGATAGGCGTACTACACTGTCTGGGGAGACCTGGAAACTCTCAAACAAAATGCTGAAATCTTGCAAGGACGGCAGGACTTAGACGTGCTCAGAGGTGACCTGGCCTCCAGGATGGCGACTACATGCCTGCATTTGCCGAAGGCGTCAGCGACTCACATCGATACAACGGTAGAGCAGCTATGCCCCTGAATGAAAATTGCTAGATCTTCCCCGGTCCCGGTCTTGGGCTTGTCCCAGTGCAAACATGTTTTCACGAGGTGAGAACAAAAAGAGTGAGTCCGTGGTGATAAACCCCTTGAAGGGCAGCTCAAACCCACACACCCTACTAACGCGAAAGCACACAGCTGATGCGAGACAAAGTGCCACTGAAACTGTGCCTTTCTGAACATCTACTAAAGCATTGATGACGAGTTGGAACTTCCCAACACACTGCTAGGTAAAGCAGGCAGCAGCATGACATAGGTGCTGTGCTTCTCGTGACACCGCAGGAGCGCTTCGACCAGATACCTCAATTCGTAGCATTCTTGGGTTCGGAGGTCCAGGCTGAGGGAGAGCAATTTTGGAGCCCTACCCGGAGGTGCGCAACTATGCCGCCTTGGAGCCTTGTGGCCTGCAACAAATCAAAAGGAATCAGGAACAAGAGAATTACTGGAACCCTCTCCTCACCACACCCACACTGCAAAACCTTCGGCATCCTTCGGCTAGGCTTTCAAAGCGCCGAGGTTCCCCCGCGACTCTGATCGCTTGAAAGCGCTGGAAATCCTTCGCCCCATCGGTGCGACTCTGCTGCAGAAACTGAACTGCTAAAGGGCGCACACTCAGCCGAGCCCCTTTGGACCCTTTGCCACGGACTTGCCGTTGTTTGCCTTCCGAACTCCGAGAGTGTAACAATTGTACTCCACAGAGCCCGCAATGCTACACACTTGAAAATAACTACCGATACGAAGATCTACGCGGGTACTATAAGGATACGATGAGGGTACTACGATATGACTATAAGCCCTCCAAGTTGAATCCACGTCGCGAAGGTGCAGATTCCAGACTGAGGTCGAAGTTCAACGTCTGAGCCTTTCTGTTCTGGTCACGAAGCTTATGAGGGTGTACAGGTTCAACTTGGCAAACGACATTTATTTGCTTTTGAGTGGTTGTCAAAATTAGGGTCCCTTTTTTGGGTACCCTAAATATTAGGTGCCGTGTTATATTAGGGACCCAAAAAAGGACCCTAATCTTGACAACCACCCATATGGCCTTGTACTACTTCGTCTGCAGAGTTCACGTGTCAGAGCCTTGCATGAGCCCCAAACACCTTGCCCAAGCCCGCAGTTTTCCAAACATTAACCTGCTTACACCAAAGGAGCAATAAGCGGTACTTGCAAGCAAAGCTATCAACCTGATTCAACCTCTCGCTAGCTAACATATAAGAGGCCAAGAGGCTGCGCTTTGGAGGGGTCTGTTCACAGCTATCTGACAGTATCGCAATCCGTGAAAGGCCCCCACCAAGCCTTGATGGTGAGTTTGTGCTGCTGCACTGTGTCCTGGCCAAAGGCTTCCGTGCTTGGAGCCGTGCAGTCGTAGGCTATCAGGGGCTATCAGGGTTGCAGGGTTGGTTCTCTCGGGGCTGCTACGAGTGCAGTGCTCATCGGCATAGCTTTAGTTCTTGCCGTGGTCGTTTGCCTGCACTTGACACCAGAGTTGCTGTAGCTGTGATCGCGGTTTCGTCGTCTATGCAGCCGTAGTGGGAGTTGTGGCCGTTTGGCGCCTGTCGTGCTTGCTGCTTTTTTCTGCCTCTGCGGCTGCTCCTGAGCAGGACCCACTGCATGGGGCTCTGAAGCTCTGTAATCCTGGGGCCGACAGGATGAACTCAATCTGAATGCACTAGGCTGCTCCGCAGACCGCAACTTTATGAGACCGTAATCACCCCTCAAAGCACTGTATGTCAAACATGCAAATGCTCGAACCATGATGCTCCATGCCCGCAAGACTAGCGAGCATTCGGATACACGAAAGACCCCTCGAAAAACCGAGACACCAAAACAAAAACCAACCCCGCACTGACCGTCCCAAGTCCAAAACACCCACCCATAATCCTCAAAGCTTACGACCTCAAACTGCCTCCAGCCACTGCCTTGCAAACCCTCACCGATCAACCCTAAACCCCAAATCCTAAACCCTAAACCCCGAAACCCCAGGACAGATTCAGCCTCCCGCATGAGCTGCATCTTGTCCGCCATCGGGTCTTCCGTAGCTCCAACCCGCAGGCGCTGTTGAAAGCTTGCCTGGGATCATTTTGCTAAGGCTTCTTTGGGTTGAGGATGCAATATGTGTGAAAGAGTATAGTATGGGGCTGTAACTATTTGACTGGGGTTTTAGGGGCTGTCATGGGACAAGAAGTCTGCTCGGGCAAACGAAGCTGGGGGGGGAGGGGGGGGACTTGCGCCTCACCTGTGATTTTCAATATCTGTGTTGATTATCAGCCTTTTTGAGATGATATCCGTGAGCAGTTTGATCACCGAATCAAACTCGGAATGTCAAGCATGACGTACTTTAATTGTGCTTGCGCTGTTCATCATTAGCCCAACAAGGCTTAATCAAGTGGGTGCGCGACGGATGTTCAAGAACTTGCGATTGCTTGAAAATCTTGAAAGACTCAACTGCGTGCTGATAATGTGAAAGTCGTCTCAGCGCAGATTTGACAAGGGATCGAGGGCCATGTCTGGGTGGTCATGTCATCAAGGGAAAGTTGAAGGTTTTGGGTAATATTTTACTTCAACTGTACTACATTGGTAACCTCAGAGAAGAGTATTCGTATTTTCCAGACTGCTGCAATAGCCGTATCAATTCACCGCAAGACGTCCGGCGTCAGCTCGTAGATTGAGGGAGTACTGCCTGCACTTTTAGGATTGCCTGCCCAAGCCTTCTGCCGAATTGCGAATATGGCTATCTAAGGTAGCCGGGGCAGGGGGTGTGACCTTCCGGAGAGGCGACTGTTGGTCCAACTACCTTCACTCCATAATGCCCGCCACCCTCCCCTTTGCTGCGCTTTGAGAACACCCAAGCCCAATGTTGCGGTTTGAAACCTCGGTACTTGAGCCTGATTTGTGTGCCTTCCACCCCAAAACGTAGCAGCAGCAAGAATACGAGGCTTCTCACAGCCCGGGCTTCGACACTAGAGTACCGTCTCAACCTGAAGACCTCCCACCGTCCGCCTGGAAGTGGTGCAGCATGCCACGGGCGGCCTCCACACACTAATACATCACGGCGACTTCGTAGTTTTTTGGGCAATTTGTGCACTGAGCCTGTGTGAATATCCTCGAAACTGTAGTGCAAGTCTCCCCTAGCAGAATGCTTCAATATCCTTTCTGATAAATTATGACAACCACACTAGAAAACCCGTCTGGCGCATGGGCTGTCTAATCTATGGGCAAGTCTAAACGTTGAGACCAGCGTTGCTGCACGTCTAGGCGGCCTGTTGCCGGAGTCTGGGTACGTGTGAGCACGCGTGCGTGCCGCGCGTTGGGTTGACACGTTTCTACCTCTTAAGCACACCTAGAGTCTCTTCTTCGAAGAACTGAAGTTGAGCAGTTTGCCCCTGGTGTGGCCCCAAGCTCTGCAGCTGCTGGAACACGTCGTCAAGAGGACTAGACCATGACACTCTAAACCTTACACCTATACCCCAAACTCTACATTATAAACCCCAACCCTGCAAAACATGCCCTTTCGAGCTCTTGGGCTCCTCAGCAGCACCGCTACCCTCAAAAGCCAAGCAACCCTGTGACCTTTAGAGTTTATGGGTGTGGGGTTTAGGGTTTGGGGTTTCACGGTTGAGGGTTTTTTGTTTGACCCTCGTGTCTTTTCACCTCGCGGCATCCAGACTACCGTAACGGTTGAGGGAGTGTGTGGGCAACAAGTACTCCACAAGGGACGGTTGAGGGTTTAGGGCTTAGAGTTTAGGGTTCAAACGGAACCGCAAGATTGCCTTCACACGGAAGGGCCAGCTCTCTTTGGAGGCATTGACGGTCAGGGACGCTAGGCGATTGTACAGATTCTGTCCTCGAGCAATGCCGGCTCCACTTGTCCTAATTCACTCCGGCACTGTACCTGTGGATAAGGCCTCCGTGATGGGCTGTGCGAACCTTGTCTCTCAACGCAAAAATGTTAGCATGTCTTTATCTAGATGTCCCGAAACATACTGCATCGCGTTTGCAAACCGTTGTATCCACATCCTGTACGAGGCTATATACGCAATCAAGCGGTCTTGAGGCTCAGAGTTCTTTTGGATCTCGCAAACTAGGCGTGCACCTAGAAGCCCTAGCACGCGAAATGCCGTTGCTTGGGCGTCCTGTTGCTTGATGCCACCGGAGGATGTCTCTGGAAAGCCTGGGCGCCGTCACCTGCACAAAGTATAGAACGCCGACGAGACCCTTCTTCAGCAATTCAAACCGAAGCCTGAGCCGTCCCATGAAAGAGTGCCAACCCTGCTAGGGTTTGGGGTTTACGGTTGAAGATTCGTCGATTACTGGGGTTGTGGAGCCGGAAGTTTCTGCCATTGCAGCACGACCTTTAGTCCAAACAATGACTTGCACAGGGATCTCGACCTTGACCCACCAAAGATGCACAGCTTGCACATAAACACAAGCCATGCAGTCGCGAGCAATAGAATCGTTTGAGCTTGCCACAAGGAGAGGAATGGTGACCTTTTTGAATCTCGTTTCCTTGACAACTGCCTGCACATGCTTGAAGTCGATCTGCCGCAGCCCGGCAAGGAGGGCGCTGGCTTCTGGCGGCGCTTCGTCTTGATGCCCGGAATCCTGGAAATGACCCATTGCCAGCAAGCGCAGACTGCATACTCACGAGAGGTAGACCCTGCAGCCCCTAGCAAGAGCTTCTGAGGCCTTTTTCGCCGAAGCAGCCGCGTTGTAGAGAGCCCAAAGGATGTAGTTCGTCTGGTAATCAAGCAAGTCCTCTGGTTGGCATTTTAGGCTGCAGGCTCAGAAAGGACCTATGACGAACAAAGCTTCTGGACCTCAAGACACAGCCGCAAAGAATCAAAAAAGAATTGCGAATCGCAAAAACTCCAGCTGCAATCCCCAACAGGAGCCTGAGGGAACCTAAAGCTAAACTCTGGACTCTAAACCTCTGAACTGAACAGCATAGGACTGTAAGCCTGAGATCTGAGCTGACGGGAAACCTGAAGCCTTCTGCGCTGATGCGGGTGAGGCTGCGGAGCATTACGAGAAGCGAGGCATAGCGCTCCGGAGACCAGCAAAAGTTGCAAAATCATGCATACCACGCTCTCGGCATCCCTTTGAAGACTTCAAGTAATTGAAAGAGCAGATCGCCTCGATATTCTGAGTGAGGACGTCTTGCGAGTCCTGCTTCGGAGCAACCGTCACACCGAATCCTAACCTGCGGTACCAAAAATCTTCCAAACACAACATGGTAGGGTACTTGGGCTTGTGCCCTTGTCGACTTTGCAGGCTCAGTCTAAAGCCGGGAGTATTCGGGATTGGGGCACGGTTGGCAATGAAACCGGGAGGTCCCGAGCTTCAGAGTCTACTGAGTCTTCTGCTGCTGCTACGGAATTTCTGAAAGAAGTAAGACTGCTGGACAAACGTACAAACGGAATAGCCATAGTAGTTGTCATTCGGTTGTTGGCATATTGCAGGGCTTCGTCCTGCTGAGTTTACGGTGTCTATCACTTGAGCTCGGGACTTCTTGGCACTAAGAAAAGCCATTGTGCTCAGAGCACCCATACTGGACTGTTGGCGCCGATTGGCTCGAGCCCTAAACTGCCGAGAGCTCTGTGGGGACACCAAGCACCAAACCACGCTCATGACCTCTCCGCCGTCAGGCAACAAAGATGGATCCCAAACCCCGAGCCATTGATTTTGAGTGCATGTTTTGGGGTCTTGTCTGGGGGAACACTAGACAAGAATGCAGGCCTCCTGGGGAAAATTAAGGTGTCGGGAAAATTAGGCGTACTTCCGACATGCTATCAGGGCGGAGGCTTGTTTTGGACCCCACTTTCAGTGAGAAAAGACCAGACGCTCCGACGGGTCTTTCAGGGGTCTCCTAAACAGAGCTAGGACCGACAGGGCGCAGGGCCTCCTCCATTGGGTTGACAAGACATTCCCAGAACCACGTCGCCCAGAGGCCGCTACAGGCAGATTGCCGGAAACGTGAGCGGCGGCGCAGGCCGAGGGGGACCCACAAAACCGACACCAATTCATCTCAGTTGGGGTTGTTTTTGCAATATGTCCATTTTTGTGCGTAACTGTTGGGGAAGCAGAGAGCACCCCATAATAAATCTCCAGGGATTTGGGGCAAACCCTGGACCCTAATTGAGAGTAGTTTCGGTGGCCTGAGCGTGGGACAGGACTGGATGCTGAAGCAAGCATGCTGTAAGTCAGTGCGCCCCACTGAACGGCAATGTCCCAGTGGCATCCTGCCTGGAGAGCCTTCAGGACAGCAGAGGTGCCAGCCCGCACGGAGTCCTGCAGATCTTCGGGTCTAGGGTTCGCTAGGGTTCTCAGGGTTGAGTGCTTGGTGGTATCGGCGCTAGGGTCTCAGGGAAATGAGGGCGCCAGGGTTTTGCGGTCTAAGGGTCTCGTCGAGGAGTCCTGTAAGCAAAAGAGGTCGCACATCACCTGCCAGGTTGCCCGAGACATTTTTTTGAACTTAGGCAGACCTCTCGTTGCGCTGGGGGGGCCTCCGCAGCTTCGGGGCCCGTAGGACATTTGTGAAGATGTGCTTATGGGTTGAAGTCATGGCAGTTGACATGTTGGGGGGATGGATCGAATCTGTATGATCTAGAGGGTGTTACGGGGGACCCAGGCAAGGAATCGAACAAGGCCCTGGAGGCACAGCGCAAGCCCTCGGCACGAGCAAAATGCATTCAAACCGCCCTGTTCGTTTTGGACACCTGCTTGCCTTCCGCAAAAGCACATCAGACCTTCAGGGCATTCCTGTGCCGGGAGCTTTTGACAATCCGCGCACAGTGCTGACAGCGTTGTTGAACCTAATGTTTGGAGCTGCAATCGAGGGGACTACCTTGAGGCATCCACGTGTCATATACGCAATGCTGGTGGAAGGGTGCTCAGGCGAGGATGTGGGTTCATCTTTGCGGGAGGGACGGATGGACAGGCACCTTGGTACCCGAACCCACGTAGGATATTGAAGCACCTGCACGGCATCCCGAACCTCAAGTCCAAAGTGTAAGCTCCATCTGACATTTTTGCATTGCGAAACCCAGGGAAAACACACATTCGGAACAGCTGCCACCTTCGACAGCCCGTATTGCCTCAGCTGCTGATGCTTGTCTGTACTGGCCAAGCAAGGAAAACCAACCTGCCGATGCGAACCCTGCACCGACCTGCCCACAAATGCCCGGGTCCACATTCGTTGCACGGAATCGGCCAAATTGCAGAGGCAAGCAATCTGCCGAGTCCGCCTCAACAAGCTTCTTGTTGTACCTGAACTCTGACCGGAACACAAACTACATCAACAGGAAACTAATGGGCCTGAATGCTAACAGTCAATCGCGGAATCCGAGGTTCCCGGCGGATACTCCTTCTAGCATTTCATAGTACTTTACCATCGCGTCGAATGAAAGTCAACCCAGGCGACTTACGAAGACTCCGGGAGTCTGGCTTCCGGGGCTGGCGCGATTGAAATTCCACACCCCGCCCCCCTCCTCTCGGATTTCAATCAGGGACATCCCGGTGCGCAGAGAGCGTCAGAACATGGCAGAAAGCCCTCAACACTAAACCTCTCTAGCTTGCTTTTCCTGAGCTCCCGGGTTGAAGATTCCCTGAAAGGTTCTACTGAAATGTTCTTTGTGAGTGCAACCTTCGATCTAGATACTGAAGACAGAGCAAGGGAATCAAACTGAGTAGTTTGAGTAAGTTGAATGAGTATATTCAACGACCCTGCAAAAAAGCTGAGCAATCTCGACTACTCGCAGAAATCCTTGATGGTTTGCCTTCGGAGAACCTTCAGATTTTGAAGCCGTGAAACTGGTGCTGAATCCCGGCCTTTGTAAAAGCTAGACACCCCAAACTCTAAACCCTTGCAGTCGAAAGCAACACTGGGGCCATGCTGTTGCGGATGTTCACGATGCAAGGCGTAGCAAAAGTGATCGCAGCAAGACGCGAGAGTCTTGAATAGCAGGCGGGGAATGTGTTTAGTGAAAACCAATGCCAAAGGTCAATCAAAACATTTAAGGCAACAGCGCGCCAGGGATTATATCGCATGGACTTAACCGATGTTTTTGGAAGGATTTAGGGCTTAGGGTTTGGGGTGTATAGTCAAGAGATAGCTCGAAAGTGGGGCACAAGCATTGTGGAATGGAAGGGACCGCCTTCTGAACATAACGAAATTTGCTCAAAACCCGTACCCCACAAACCCGAAACCTGAAACGGATGCTTGAGTAAGCGCGACGAAATGTTGCAACCAGAATACGAAGTTCTGTCATCTGTCGCTTCGAACTTGGGCAACGTCTTCGCCATCATCTCCTCAGGGAATCCGGATTTCTCAGGTGATCATGTTCGCTCCCGGCAACGCTTGCCAATGGCACCCCTGGTAGCATGGTCTGAAAGCCTCGGAGCGCAAGCCCGAAAGCACGCGCGAAAAGGATCTACAACATTCTGTTTCTATGACTGCATAAGGACGATGCGGATCAGGAGCCACGTACCCTCTTCCGTTTCGAACTCACCCCAGAAGGAAACTTTTCTCACATTAAAGCTGAGGCAACTAGGCGGGTATTACTTAGATTGTGTTTGCAGTCAAGCAAAGGACGTGCAACAAACATGATTGATACCTACTATGTCATTGAGTTATGTTTCTCCTAAATGATTCAGGAACCTACAGAGAAACATTACTACGGTTCAGGAGACAGCATTTCTGAAAGCGATCTTACATCCATCAACAGATATCACAAATATTCCCAAGCAGCCGGAACGGCAGACCTGCATAAACTCCCAGCTGAAAAAGATTCGTCACTCCCTCACTTCAGCAGCCTGCCTGCATGGCTGCAAGAATTACAGCTTCAGGCCCGCCTTCAAACTGCTGAGTGTGCTTTCAGAGCTGGAGCTGGCATCCGACCATCTGTAGTTCTCTGCCCCTGTTAGGCCGGTTTCGACGACTTTGGCTGCTGCCCCGACCCCGTACATAACGTTATCCTGGCTCGGCGGCAACCTGGGACAGCTTGCAAGTTCCCATGGTCGCAGGCCAGGAGGTTTGTGAGAACACATCATGTTCATCCATTAGGGATTCAAGCTCTACGTAGTGACAATCTGCTGCAGTATGGCCTTCATGACATGAGGCTTTGCCCGAGCGTTTCAACTCCCCGGCTGTATTACGATTTTGTTCACTAACACCACGAAACCAAATCATGACAAGATCATCGTGAATCCCGTGTCACTTGTTTGACTGGCCGCACCGATAGCGCTAGACGGCACATATCGAAAATTACACTGGGTGTCACAATGACACATGCTTAGGATTTTACGGGGGATTTGATCTGCCCGTACTATCTATACGTTTGTACGAAGCATCAAAGACCAGTGCCCCCTCCCATCGCCGCGGCATAAGATTAACAGCGACAGAAGCTCTGCTAACAAAGCTCGAGGCACTTGAGGTAGTATTGCTTATACCATTTCTCCTTCTTCTCTCCCTCGTTCTTGTTCGCCTTCTCCGGCTCCTTCCGGGCCTGTGACGGTGGCGGCTCCTGCTGCGCCTCCGGTGCCGGAGCAGGGGCCGGATTCCCTCCGTCACCATTAACCGGATTCAAATCCATTTCTTCGATGTCATCCTGGACAGGATCAAGTGGAACTTCGTCCGCGTCCTGAATTTCGTCCCACCCTCCTTCTCCTTCTCCTTCTCCTTCTAATTCTTGCCATTCAGCGATTGGATCTGGTTGCACATCCGCATCGACTTTCTCGATTGGATCTGCCTTCACGTCAGCATCGACTTGCTGGATTGGATCTGCTTGCACGCCCAAATCGGCCACTTCCTTCTCATGCTGGGCTTGAACTTCCGCGTCGATCATGGCATTCTTCTCCGCATTCCCCGCGTTCTCTTCTCCTGTTTTGCCCGAGGTCCCATGGTTTCCGATGGGAATTGCCTGGGTTGATCCAGAGCTCAAAGCTGTAACTAACACAACTTACGTCATATGCTCGGAAGCAAGGCGGTTTCCTGGCTGCTTCAGCGAGCGTTTGGCCGCTTCTCAGTGAATATGAAGCCCGAGCTTCGTCTTGGCTCTAAGCGAGCTCCTATGAAGGTTCTGGACCCTGGGCGTTGTTCAAGCTGCGACTGAGGTGCTCCCACGATTGCACTGGCCAGCTCCAAAGCCAACTGCGTCATTTGAAGCCTCTGGGGCTTCTGAAAGAGAAAGAGGTGCGTTCGCTTAGGGTGTTGGGATGGTTTGGAAACACGGGCTTGATAGTTTGACACGCGCCCAAAGTCTACGTAGGGTTGGCAGGGCTGCACGCAGATCAAAGCAATCTTCGATACCAGCAGGGCACCTTTCAGGAACATGGACTTAAAAACGTCAATAAAGGACTATAAGAGCTGCCAACTCTATGACGCTGACTTTCGTATTCCTGCTATGGCTTCGGGATCCCGCGGGCTTTGGTCACTCATCTGCCGAGGAGCGCTCGCTGCCTCTTTTCGATGTTTTTTGTTTCCTGGTCTCAGGCAGACACGATTCAAGCCTAAGCTTGGGGCCCAGCAGTCCTTATGAGCTTGGGCCTTAGACCCCAACCCAAAATCCAAACATGTTTTGAGACCTGTAGTGGAGGCGTTGGTCTCAAGGCAGGTTCAGGCTGCAGGCGCTAGGACGCGAAAGGACCGAAGTAGGGGACAACCGGGGCTAATTCCACCCTAAACCCAAACTCTCCTCCTGCTGCTGGACCTCCGCAGTGCCCTTCATGCGGGTGCGCGCCTGCTCGCAGTCGACCCGCAAGACTCTATGCATTCAATTCATGAACCCTGCCGAAGCTACAAGTGCAGCAGGCAAGACCATTGATTTTGCGACAACGATTGCAGTTTCGCTAAGTCACGCAGACGCCGGCAGCACTATAAATAGACTCAGGTCTGGCGTGGAATAGTATATGATACTTCTAGGTATCAGGCTGTTCCCCAGCCTTCGTCCGCGTACTGCAGCTCCAAAACGATCTCTCAGAGATGCCCTTTTCTTCGCCGCCCTGCCAGAAAAAATGACATATAAGCTCTAAGACATCACGCAGGCTTCTGGCGAGGGCGGCAGCAAAATACGCTTGTCATTCATGAGAATGTTAGTTGTCTTCAGGGATGTACTTCTTCGGAGGTCGGGCAGTGTTTCGAAGTCGCTGTCATGCCTCTGCAGTCTTTGGAAAGATTCTGTAGTACTTGGCGAAACGAAAAGTTTGACTGACTTGCTGGGGGAGCTACACTTCAGCCTCTGACTAGCCTTCTAAACTTGAGAACGGCAAAGCCAAACTCTTATCACAAAATCCCTAGACCCCGGAAAACTACCCGAAACTGCCAGCACATCGCCCAACCTGCCGAAAACTGCCACAAATTGACAAAAAGTTATTTGCCCAAGTTACTGCCAAACCTTCCGAAGACTTCCAAAAAAGACATGTATATAAGTAAACAAAAATTTTCTGGACTCAGTGACTCTGGCAGATTTTGCTGGGTTTCTGAATTTAACAGACTTTTCTCGAAGGAAGGCTTTGGCAAGATTTGGTTCCTTTCGGAAGCCTAGGGAAGTCGTTGGTCTGGTTCCACAATGTTTACAAGCTTTCGGTGAAAATGTGCTATCCAACCCCCACCCCCACCCCAAAAAAAAAAAAACAGCACTCCTACCATCCTCTAATTACCGTGGAAACCGAAACTATCCCGTTACCCTATGTACTGGATAGGAATGTCAGGGGCGCTGCCCGCCACGCCACTAGTCTGTTTGGTCCTGCCCAGGAGTGCCCGCAAAATCTCTTGCGCTGCTATGCGCTGCTGTCATGCAAGGACTGAGTGGTATGCCAGCCTGTCTAGCAGCTAGTCTAGCATCTCGCATGCGGGACATTGCAAAGACGAGTGTGGCGTGGCGTGAGAGCCGACCCTGCAAAATACTGAAGCCTTGCACAGTGAATCTGCCAGGTCTGCACGTTCTGGAGATTCTGACACCAGCATCCAAGCTGAGAAGCCTGTCACTCAGCCACCAGTAGTTGAATACTGCAATTCTAGGACGGGGTAACAAAAGAAATCAACCCTACTCCCCCCAAAACCTTCAGCCCCAGCTCTGAAACGTGCCTGCACCATCTTGGCATTGAAGGTGTGGTAGCACGGGTTCGTGTGCGAGACTTTGCCCTTGTACAGGTGGGGATGCTGGAGATACCTTGGGATGCACCGCAAGCTTCTGACGAGGCCTTTGGCCATGAGGTCGCTGCTTTTGCCTCTCTGCACATCTTGCCCTGTCTTCGAGACACCGTGACACCTCGACAGCTTCCAGAACCGAGCGATCTTGTCGTGGAAATGCGCATGGATGAGGCGTGTTGAGGGTGCTACACAAAGTGCTGGGGACCAACAGTGGAGCGCGAGAGTCTCCGTGGACTGGGCGGAAGCTGAGAGGCCTGAGAAAACGAATGTCTCCGGAAGTCTATCTCCAACAGCAGCTACACAAATCGTCTGCACACCTCACTGTTGCGCTTTTCTTGTCATGCAGCTGCAAAACACATCAAACGGGAAGAGCATGCGGGTCATCGGCTTCGTCACGTGAGCACGCACCCATGTCGTTCACGTGCCAGCACGATTCGAAGAGGCGATTGGAGCAAGGCGTGCAGCCGACAGGCTTGCGGGCAGGGCTGAAACTCTAAGCTCGAAGGTTGCAACCCCGTGCCCATGGGCATTGTAAATCTGGGGCCTCTGGGTTCCCGCAGCTTGTACGATGTCATCCTTTAGTCGCAGCTGAGCTCCGGGCACAGGGCTGCAGTATTTCTTGTAGTCGGGCTGCGTGGGCGTGAATTCCTCAGGGTTACTACTTTGCGGTGTTAGAGAACCCTTGGCGACCCCGGGGTCCTGCAGCGTTGGATACGTGGGCTTCCTCGGAGGACGCTTCCTCTGCGCCTCTCAGAGGAGGGCTTTGTTAAAATGAAGTCAAAGCCCCTCCCAAACTGTGTGGCTATCTGGGCAATGATACACGCATTTCTGTCTGGCATCATCGCCTCGGATCAGGATGCTGGATTCCAGGACTCCAGCTTAAGCTCAGAAGGTAAGGCCCTTGCAAATGATTAGCAACAATCTTTGACCTCTTCGGCAGGAAGCACGGTGCGAACCTCTTCGCCCCATGCTTCCTGCCCACAAATCCAAAATGCGCATGCACTCCACCTCAAATCTAGCCTCCGGCTGCGTCTCTGATATCAAGGAGGTGATGGACGTTGCCGAGAAGGGGCCGTTCGGGATCCTGCTGAAGATGTCGTCTGCTTGTGACTTCTCAAGCGCTTCCATATTATGGAAGTATGATGTGATTTTAGGTCGAAAGGTTGGGGATGGTGAGGTTTGGCTAAGTTCGCAGACCTCCAGCCCAACTTTCGTTTCTTTTCAAGAGATGGGCGATGAGCTGCAAAGGCAGCACCATTTCCACCAGCGACACGACTTTCGCTTAAGAATGCGGATCCTACAACTCCAGCTCATGCTCTTGCTCCCCGTGCGCCTTCCGCTGTGGCTGCCGCTGCTGCTACATCTGTAGCGGCTACCGCCCCAGCTACTGCTACAGTGCTACAGCTACTTCTGCTCCTACTCTTACTTCTTCTTCCTCGTCGTCCTCCTCCTCGTCCTCGTCCTCCTACTCCCGCCCCTTGCTAGTAGCAGTAGTAGCAGTAGTAGCAGCGGTAGCAGCAGTAGCAGTAGTAGCAGTAGTGGCAGTAGTGGCAGCAGTGGCAGTAGTGGCAGCAGTAGTCTACTACTCTACTACTACTACTACTACTACTACTACTACTACTACTACTACTACTACTACTACTACTACTACTACTACTACTACTACTACTACTACTACTACTACTACTACTACTACTAGTACTACTACTACTACTACTACTACTGCTACTACTACTACTACTACTACTACTACTACTACTACTGCTACTACTACTACTACGACGACGACGACTACTACTACTACTCTACTACCAGTACTAGCAAGACGACGACGATTACTCTACTAATGTTGATGACTAAAAGGGCAAGCAGCACCCCTCCCACCTCCCAGTCCTTCTGCTGCGGCGGTTACTCACTACTATCACGACCCTTGCTCTGCCATCTTTTCTTCCTCTGTGCTCCTGCACTCTTCAGATCAATCACCCAACAAACTCTCAATCTCGCCCAGGTCTTCGAGGGCTTTGGATCCGAAACGCTCTCCAATGTTTGGGGTTTACTCTGTTCCACACCCCGGAAGTTGAAAACCTGTTTAGGTAACTGCAGTGGCTGTAGCCTCGCTGCTTTTTCTGCTTACCCTGTGTAGCGACGCCACCTCCAATGTCCAACCACAAATGTTACTGAAACTAAGCCCCACAACTCCGGGACTGAAAACTGTCTTCTGAATACAAACAAGACATCCGCGAAACTGACAATCCCGAAGCCCCTGGACTTCAAAAGCCTGAAAAAGTCAAAAACCCATTCTGTTGCGAGCGAAGCGTCTCGGTGGGCGAGAGGGCATCGCTGTGGACAGTGTAGACTGTGTCAGTCCCTTTGCGGAGGTTCCAATTCCCACTGAACCTTCGCGATTGAAGGGGGCTTGAAGGCTTATGTAAAACCCGATGGAAGAAACATGGAACAGCTGATGCCTCGTCGACCTACAGGGCTGCGGTGGGACAGAAGCTTGAAAGGCCGAATGATCCTGAGTGCGTGCTCGGCTCAGAACGTGAAACCTGGCGCGACATCAAGCCACCAAAGCAAGACCTAGACCCCAAATCAGCACGTGAGACGCTGTGACATACAAACCCTCATGCATAGAATATTCACGGATTTTGGGGGGCACTAAACCTAGATTATTTGCATCTCACACCCAATGCAGCCCCTAAAACCTAAAGCCTAAAGCCTAAACCCTAAACTCCTAAACCCTTAATGTATGCAAGCCGGCAACTTGTCCCATGAGAGCGTGAAGTCAAAATCCGAGGATGTGCCCGGCTCGCCAAGAGCTCCCATCGGAGTCTTCCCGTAGAGGGCTGAGCCTGCCAGGTGGCGCTTGGGGCAGGTTTATATATTGGGGGCCCCACTTTATGGAATAAGGTTTTGGGGCGCACTATACTAAAGTTGTTACAAGGAACCCCCAAAATGATATTGGCAACTATTTAGGCCCCTATACTAGGCCTTCTGGCTTCTGGAACAACTGCTTGAGCCTTTCGACCGCGCAACACTGAAACCATTCACTCACGGCCTGTGGAGCCTATTTGTGTCGGGCAGTAGTAGCCCTCAAAGCTCAGATACCTGGCTGCACTCAGGAACAACCCGGGCTCAGAGTTCTGATCTTGACAGAGTTGGACACATTCACGTGTGAACGCTCTGGACCCTCAGGCTATGGGGCACTAGTCTTGCAGCTTCTCGAACTAGCGCGCGAAACCATCTGAGACTTGTCCACGCTTGCTGTGCAGTCCAACCGTGTCTGTTGATGACTAGCCAAGGCTTCATTCTAGCACGTCAATCCCTCCACTATGAGTAAGGTTTGCTTTGGGAGTCTTCCTTGCAGGCAATCCTCAGATTAACCCGAAACTCCAGCCAAGGCACGGTCTCGCGACCCGTCCATAAGGCAACAACGATGCGCCCATGGGCCAAAGGAAACGACAGCAGCCCAGCTTGAACTGAGGCAGCACTGGAGAATTTTGATTTCAAGCTGGGGCCTGTGACGTAATTTCTCAACCGCCCACTCAAGGCAAAAACTGTCGATTTCTTCTCCTTCCGAAACCCAATTCAAAGAGAAGCCATGCGCAAGTGGCCACTGGCAAGTAATCTAATGGCAGGAAGTTGCATGCATGCGGTGAAACTATACCTAGAAGTGTGCTTGCACTTATCACAGCAAAACCGGCACCTGATTCCCACTGTAGCTGACGGCATTCACCACGTGACCCGCAGTGCAATGCGGCTTTGATGGGTGGTCACAGAAGCCAATCAAGTTTGTCCTTCCAAGCTGCCGCCCAGACTCAATTCGAAGTCTCAAGAATTCGGCGAACACAACGACATGCCGCGAACCTTTTCTAGGACTGCGCGCTTGCACATGCAAGCCTTAGGTGGAAGCAGCGAAATCATTACAACAATGAAGGAGACCGTCCCTAGGCGAACCTTCGTCTATCTAACCATGGCACATGCGCCTGCGCATTCGGAGTCTTGCTTGAATCCCGAGCACAAGAGGCCATACTGGAAAATACCAACAAAAACTCCCGTCCTCCGGCAAAAGACCTTGAGCTCAGTCCTTGCCATAAGTGCGAAGGAAATAGCTGCACTTTATTGGCGTCGAGCGTCCAGGGCTTCGGAATGAAGGGCTTTGGACTTTATGGTTCAAGGCTCCTGGGTTAGGGCTTGGCTAAAACTGCATATGATAGCCCTGTCTGGCGAGCCCGTGTCTGGCGAGCGACCAATTTCGTGGGCCGCCAGCGAGGTGGTTGCCCCTCACCTGAGGCGTGCTTTGAGATTTGGGATGGGAGTACTGAGCACCATAAGAATCGCTCTCAAAGGCCCATGCATGCCGAGCACTGAAGTACGTCCCAACTGCTCAGGCAGGCGCAACACAAGGGCGCAAATCATGCAACTTCACCCCTAGTCACCTTGATGCCAGGCAGGTTGTACCATCCGCTGATAGCATAGCCAGAAGGACACGTCGCTGACCCTGAGTAGGCTGACAGGACCTCCTGAGGGTGTCTTGCTTGGGTGGATTGCAAGATTTAAGGCATAGGGCCTGCGGTCATTTTCGGCTGTCTTGGTCTCCGGCTTAAACGTGACTGGATTCGGCTGGGCGGTGGGAAGCCTGCAGAGGGCGCCTCGAGCCCAGGACGAAGGTGCGTGTGTGTGAGAGAGAAAGAGAGAGAGAGAGAGAGAGAGAGTGAGAGAGAGAAAAAAAAAAGTGTGTCTGTCCGTGTGTGTGTGTGTGTGTGTCTGTGTCTGTGTCTGTGTCTGTGTCTCGTTGCTGTGTCTGTGTCTGTGTCTGTGTCTGCGTGTGTCTGTGTGTGCACGTGTCTGTGTGTCTCTGTGTCTCTGTGTCTCTGTGTCTCTGTGTCTCTGCGTCTTCGTGTCTCTGTGTCTCTGTGTCTCTGTGTCTCTGTGTCTCTGTGTCTCTGTGTCTCTGTGTCTCTGTGTCTCTGTGTCTCTGTGATTCTCTGTGTGTGTGTGCGCGCGTGTGTGTGTGTGCGCGTGTGTGCGCGTGTCTGCGCGTGTGTGCGCGTGTGTGCGCGTGTGTGCGCGTGTGTGCGCGTGTGTGCGCGTGTGTGCCAGTGTGTGCGCGTGTGTGCGCGTGTGTGCGCGTGTGTGCGCGTGTGTGCGCGTGTGTGCGCGTGTGTGTGCGTGTGTGTGCATGTGTGTGCGTGTGTGCGTGTGTGCGTGTGTGCGTGTGTGCGTGTGTGCCTGTGTGCGTGTGTGCGTGTGTGCGCGTGTGTGCGCGTGTGTGCGCGTGTGCGCGCGCGTGTGTGCGCGTGTGTGCGCGTGTGTGCGCGTGTGTGCGTGGGTGTGTGCGTGCGTGCGTGCGTGTGTGCGTGTGTGCGTATGTGTGTGTGCGTGTGCGTGTGCGTGTGTGCGTGTGTGCGTGTGTGCGTGTGTGCGTGTGTGCGTGTGTGTGTGTGCGTGTGTGTGCGTGTGTGCGTGTGCGTGTGTGCGTGTGTGCGTGTGTGCGTGTGCGCGTGTGTGCGTGTGCGCGTGCGTGCGTGTGCGTGCGCATGCGCGTGCGCCTGCGCCTGCGCTTGCGCGTGCGCGTGCGCGTGCGCGAGCGCTTGCGCGTGCGCGTGCACGTGCGTACGCGTGGGTGTGGGTGTGGGTGTGGGTGTGGGTGTGGGTGTGGGTGTGGGTGTGGGTGTCGGTGTGCTTGTGCTTGTGCTTGTGCTTGGCTTGGGCTTGCGCTTGTGCTTGTGCTTGTGCTCGTGCTCGTGCTTGTTCTTGTGCTTGTGCTTGTGTTGGTGCTGGTGTTGGTGTTGGTGCTTGTGTTTGTGAGTGTGACAGTGTGACAGTGTGACAGTGTGACAGAGAGAGAGAGAGAGAGAGAGAGAGAGAGAGAGACAGAGAGACAGAGAGACCCGACACGAAGCTTCTCCTGTGAATCCGAAGCGTGGATGTCCAGGCAGTGCGGGAGCGTCTTCTCCTCCCCAAGCAAACGTTTGACTGCGGACAACATTCCGACAACCACACTTTTCACATGTGGGATTGTGCAGACTGACTGTGCCTACACCGCTACCCAGGCAGCACTTGCAACCTACAAAGAACAATCTGAGAATGGCAGCTGCCGAAATTGCTCCCAGTTCCTCCGAGACTACCACAGCTCCGGGCGGGCAGGTGACGCCCCAAAACGCCTTAGCACAGCCGTTGAGACGTCAAGATCGGCGCAAAGATTTTCCGGGTTTGGATCGGCAATGACTCGCCTCCTCCATTAAGCCCTGTGAAATTTGATGATTGAAAAATCTTTGTACCGGGGACCAGAACTTATTCAGCAAAAAGCGGTGACCACTCGGTGACCAGTCTCTGTTAACTGTCTCAGGCCAGTCACGACGCGACATTGTTACTAGCATAAGCATTGGTATTATTCTCAGTATGTTCAACATTATCAGTTTTATCAATATCCTTAGTATCATGATTACTGATTAGTAGTAGTCGTCGTAGTAGTAGTAGTAGTAGTAGTAGTAGTAGTAGTAGTACTAGTACTAGTACTAGTACTAGTACTAGTACTAGTACTAGTAGCAGCAGCAGCAGCAGCACAGCAGCAGCAGTCGCAACAGTCGCAGCATAGGAAGCATTATCATTACTATGTTTATGAGTCTGTTCTTTGATTATTGTAAATATTGTTATCGTTCTTGTTATTGTTCTTGTCGTTATTATTTTCTATTTCTAGTTCTATCATGACTGCGATCATTGCTATTCAGGATTCATATTTCTCGTATTGTTGTTGTTAGTAATATTGCTATTCTTACTGTTATTACTATTACTATTGGAGTAAAAGCGGGGCTACGCAATTTGACGGTCGAGGGGATGTCAAGGCTTTAAATCAGGGTTTTGGATTTGGGGTTTAGGGCAGAGCCAGCCTCCAACACAAACATGGCCCGTGCATGAACACCACACTGCATTAGAGCCTTCGTGCTGACACCAAGGCGCTTAGAAGCACAGATTAGCGACGGCAATGCAGCAAGTTGCGTATCTGAGCTTCGGGCATCCCCACTGGCTGCGACGCTGAGGTACCCCATGGACTGAGCCCTGTGCCCAAGCAGCGAGTTGGGGGGCATGCTCGGGGAGGTCTGTGAAGGAAAGGCCCGTGGCCATGTCACAGTGTGGATCATACGCGGTTCAGAAGTGGGTGGTGACTTCTATGACGCGTGTTTCGTGTTCTGGCCTCTCACCACTGGCGCCCTTAAAGAAGAAGGGCCAGCTTCGAGCATCTTCAAACGGGAGCGTCTTGTAGGGAGCGTTGCGCATGATCACTGCAAGGGCCTTCCAGGTTTCAAGTGCCACAAACCATCGGCTTTTGTGGTATATTGGGCTAACCAAACTCTTCATGACTGCAGGTTGCCTTCAGCGTCATCCCGTTTGGATTCATGATCGTGGCCACAGATGGACTCACGGACATCGAGTTGTTCATCAGAACCGGGCAGACCTTCTCGATCCTGGCGATTGCATGTACTTTTCTACTAGTGCTAAACTTTCAGCCTGTTTTTGCCAGATGCTCGTTTATGACGTTTATGTGTGTCACGCACGGCCTGCATCCCCCGTTTTCCTGCCAGTTGGGCTCGTGCGGTACCGAGCAGCTCTAGATCCTCAAGCCCCGCTGATGCAACTCCAGCTCTCGAAACGTGCAAAGTAGGAAAGTGCTCTCCCAACCCTGAGGTGCTGAATCGTAGAATGGGGTAACCGATTGCAAACGAGCACAAATACGATCACCAAACCGGCTGCACAAAGCAGCCAAACGAGAGGACACAAAAAGCCAGCATAAGCCAGTGCCAGCTGAATGTTGACAGTTTCTTGAGCAGAAAACGTGGCAGCAACAGGGTCCAGGGCAGTTTGGCTATGTACCTTCATAGTCTTCTCTTCACTGTTTTCGGCGCCTTCTGTTGCGAGCGTACTCCAGAAGTTGAACAGTGCGGCCTTTACATGCACTCACAAGGCCCAGAGCTCAGCCAAGCATCATCAAGGTCGTAGCGGCTGTGTAGATCTTTGACAAGTCCTGGTATGAATTCAATGGAATTTACTTGTCAAGATTGGCATCGAGAAAAGCAACCAAGTACCTTCTTAAATCTGGGTAAAACTCTCATACCAAACCTCAAAGATAGGCAATGGACACCCAGGAGCAAAGCCGTCATTCTACGTTCCATCATCGTTTCAAGCTATAGGCTTGGATTTTCAGTGTAGCCGGTCTATTCGACGCCAATTGCCGTCCCCGACCGATGAAACTTTTGTATGAATGCGAACCTCAAAGCTCGGGTACTTGCTCCAAGACTAACTGAAAGCGAGGTGTCTGAAGCTCGGATAGCAGGAACAAGATCCTTCATGCTTGCTTCGTTTCCGTCTCGGTGCAGGAGGTGACAGATAACACTGTTCCAACCTTCTGCTTTTCAATGCAGACCTAGGCCCATGTACGTTCGCCCCACAAACCAGTGGACGCACCCTGAAGTCTATTACAAACCCTCCTCCGGGCTCACAGATGCCCATTGGGAGCACGAGCTGCCTTGCGAGCCGCTTTGGTCAGACTCCGCTGCCTGGCAAGCAAAGAGCACCTTCGTCCCGTTTCCTGAGGCACGAGTGGAAGGGAAGACCCAATGGCTATGAGCCTGCGGAAAGCGTATCATGTAGATGTACTAGATCTACACAATCTGTTTTGTGTTTAAGTGCAGCTCATGTGTCTCTGTCGCTGTCTCTCTCTCCCGCCACCCCTCCTTCCCCAACACATATGTGCAAATAACCTGTGCAGGCCAAGGGTGGCACCATGCGGCTTCACCACCTCATAGTGATCCACATACTGGTAAGCCTGCCTGGCGGAAAGCCACGGCGCGTGGAATCGGCATGTGCGTTCTGAACAAAGTTTCATCTGATGAACGCACCGACATTGCTTGGGGTACTGTTGCGGTACCAGCCTGCAAACATCACTCTGCATGACCTGTAATGCTTCGCCAGATTGTTTGTTTGCACTCTTCATGATTCCAACACGTCACGCAAGCTCTGTACGAGGACATCGCTATTGGATTTCACATCCTACATCCCAATCTAAGCCTTAGGTAGTGCTTCAACTTTTGCTCTTTACGCAACAACCCAAAAAAATACGATCAAAAAACCGCGTCCCTCGTGCTACTGTATCTTGGAGCACGAGCTTTCGCTGAGCCTCTGCTGAGTATCGAGTTTATCGAAGCCGGCAATCTCCAGAGCGAGATCAGTACCATTGGTTCCCGATGCACTGTCGTGGAGCACCAATGAAGCCTGCCGCTTGGTCAGGTCACGACGCACACACACACACACACACACACACTTGCTGATTGATCCACCAGTGGCTTGACATTGAGACTGAGCATGCCGCGTTGGCTGATTTCTCTGTGCAAATCAGATTGCTGCAACCGTGCTTGCGATGCCGAAACAAACAGAAACTGTCTTGTTGTAAGGTAAAGGCTCCGACGCTTTTGGTGGATTCGCTAAGTCCTGTCCACGTCTTCTGCAAGTACAGGAAACTACGTCCAGCTTCCCATCCAATCGATTCTGATAGCTTCGTTGGCCTGACTGGGGAAAGGACCGCCATGCCCCCAGCCAAGACTGTGTAACGCAATGTAAGTACAGTCAAGCGAGCTGCAACAACGGGGCATGACACATGCAGAATGCACAGGTCAACAGCAGTCGGCCGTCAGCAATCACAGTCAACACCAACAACAGTCAACAAGAACAACAGGAAGAACAAGCAACAGCTGCAGCAACAGCAGCAGCGATGACAACAGCGAAGACAACAAAAAACCAACCAACCAACCAACCAACCAAGCAACAAACCAACCAACCAACCACCCAGCCAACCAACAAACCACCCAGCCAGCCGGCCAGCCAGCCAACCAGTCAACCAAAAAAGCCAACAAAGTCCAACAACAACAACAATGACGCCTTTCTATTGGATGCTGAGCGAGCGAGCTGAGCTCATAGCGGGCGCATGAGAAACCTCGAGACGTGCCGTAAGCCAGCGCCGTCCCTTAGTAGCTGACCTGCCGACATTCCAGTAGAGGTTAAGCAGCCTTAAAACGAGACAAGTTGCAGCTCTCGCGCTCGAGGGGACTGCCCTGCTATCATCGTAGGTACCTCCTTCGTCCGTTTCTGGAGCAACGAGCCAAACTCCTTTTGCTCCGAGGCCTCGGGCTAGCCATCAACCTTATACAGAACCACAACAGCCGAGCTAAAGGAACAGAGAAAGTCGCTCAACCCCTATAGGATCCTCAGAGAAGGAAAACGAAGAACCTTTGCTAGAGAAGTTTAGAAGACAAGCGCCTCAGTAAATCGAGTGTCACTGCATACTGTACGGTGCAGCGGCAGCTTTTCAGCAAATGCTTCAAGGAGGCAGGTCACTTGACTTTGCTATCAGTTACCAAGGGCTGTGCCCTGGTTTTGGCACGAGGGCATGCGCAATTTCCGCCATTGCCAGTTTGCCAACCGCTTGAGGGTCTGCATTTCATAGTCATGGTAAGAGGCGGTAAGAGAGAATGATGCCTAAAAATGGCACCTGAGTCTTATGTGAAATCAGGCGTCCCGAGGGAGCTCCACATACTTGACCCCCTCCACTTCCTTAAACAGCTTAATGATTCCTGATTGTTTGGGCCGAGCCCCCGCGCAGCTGGATCAGCAAAGCGGCGATGAGGGATTAAACTTAAAGCCCAACTCTCCCAACTGGTCTAAAAGGAGATCACAGAAGCCCAGGGCTGTTTCAAGTTCTTCTGGACTGTCGAAGTGGGACTGAAGGAGACCGTCATCTGCACACATGGCGAGCATGCCAACTAGGTCCTCGATTTGGATCTGTTGAGCAAGTCGCCGAAATAGCAGCCCAGTGGCACAGGCAAAAAGTGCGGGTGCGAGTTTGCACCCCTGTTTTTATGGCTCGTTTCGTAGCAATTTCGAATGATTGATCTGAGGCCGTCATGCGATAGAGAGCCTTGACGTGCAAGAGGCCTACCACCTCTATAAGAACCGGGTCTGCCATTTCAGCCTCTAGGGGGCTTCTCGCAGCCGAGCCGTACTCGGTCTACTGCGTCAAAGGCTTTACTCATGTCCACGCTTCGCGTGAGGCTACCTTTGAGCTGTATGCCGCCGTGTGCCGCCGTGTCCTTTACTGGCTGTTTTCTGCAACATGAGACAGAGCCTTGCAGATCGCTTCCTTTGTACCCATTCCCGGGACAAAGCCAAACTGAGATATTCCTGTCATGCCTGAATGCAGTGCTGTCTTGAAACGCTTCCGTACTGGGCCAGCTGAGATCTTTCCCTCTGGGGCTATTACACCTATGGGCCGGAGGGAGGCAGGTTTGTCCGGTTTATTTGGTGGTTTTGGAAGCCAAGAGATTTGTGAGGCCGTCACCATTGTGGATGGATCACCGTCCTCAACCTCTTGATTAAGAATGTCCGCTATGAACTGGTGAGCCTGAGGACCTAGTTACGTCCAAGCTACAATTGGTGGACTATCCTTTGGCACTGCCTTCCCAACCTTAATTGACATGAGCTGCTCCCTCACTTCTTATGCAGTGATGCCAAGGTTACCCTTTATGTCCGTGAGAGGGAAGTCTTCTCCTGAGCCGAACAGGTCGACAGAGTACTTCTCGAGCTGCTGGCGCTCCTCTGCCGAGGTGAGGAAGCGACCCTTTTCATCCCTGAGCTGAACCCGTTCCTCCGGCTTGCATGCTCTGGATGACCTTAGAAAGCGAGTGACTACCGTCCTGCTTGGATCTGTGTTTCAATCTCCTGCTGACGCCGCCCCTTCTTGATTTGTTTAGGCCGCGAGAAGCTTTTTCCGCATTGTTTTGATTGTGTCCAAAGTTTCTTCGGATCGCCAAACGTACTGATAGCAGCTGAAAGCATCCAATGAAGTGCTCTCACCTGGTATGCGAACCTGAAGGACACGGCCTGGCAGAACCTCATTGAACCTGATAGCCCCCTCCGTCGGCAGCGTGTGGAGTGAATCATCACCAATACTCCCGCTCCCTTCTTCCCTGTTGAGCCTGAGCTCATGACGTGCCAGTCTTCCTTAGTGAACTGCCAGCTGCCTCCCCAATGGGCTTCCTGAATCGCAACTATCTTCACTGATTGAAGAGCAGGGGTCTTGAGCACGGAGAGTAACTCTTCCCATGCCGCTGTGGTTAGCGAGCCTGCATTCCATGATAAGTAAGCCACTTGCTGTTTCTCAGTATTCCTGAAGAATTGAATCTAGGAGGATTACTTGAGGACTGAGGTACGGCGAGCTCTACTGGTGTCATATGTCTTCCCTTGTAGATCGCGCTTCCTGCTTGTAGAGCTTTCCGTACCGCCTTCTGATATGATCGTTTATCTTTCCCTTTAGGAAAAGGCCAATTGCGTTTGGTCGAGTCACTATAGGCTGTTTAGTCGGGCTCATGTTGAACTCAACTCCTGTCGGCTTCGCTAGACCGACAACCCTCACTTCTGGGAGCAGGCAGATGGCTGTATATCTCAGTGCTCCCTCCCGAACTTGGGACCGAGACTGATTGCAACACAAACACCAACACCAACACCAGTAATTAGCAGCCACACCAATAGCAGCAATGGCAGCAGGAGCAGCAGCAGAAGGAATAGCAGCAGCAGCAGCAGCAGCTGCTGCACCACCACCACCACCACCACCACCACCACCGCCACCGCCACCACCACTAGCCGAATGCGCATAATCTGCAGCCCTGCCGTACCACCCTGCTGTTTCAATGACCCTCGCTTATACAGCTTCTGCAATTGTTGCCGCGAGCGCATAAATGGAGCTGGCCGTCTGCCTCGCAGTTGCTCACGTTGACGAAGTTCTCGTGGTCTGTCAAGCTGATAAAGCCATCGTCTGCACCATGGCTTTGTACAAGCGCCTGAGAAGCACAGCTCAAGCTTTATAGGGTTTAGGGTTCAGGGTTTAGGGCTAGGGTTTCGACTAAGGTCTAAGATGCCCCGGTTTTTCAGGATCGTGGACGGTCCAAGCAACTGATTGACTCAAGCAGCGACTGGAAATAGAGATGACATGTCTCATGTTTCGGCACTGTTCCAAAACATCAGAATTGACGGTTCAGGCAATGCCAAGCTGCAACGACAGCGAGCTCTGACCCAGTCCCACAACTCATATTATGAGCATGTGCGTGTGTGTGTGAGCCGATTCTGGTGCGTCCTTCGAAGATTCCGCCAACTCGAAACGAAAACTGCCATGAAACGCAGCTGCCATCGACCGTCCGCCTGCGTGTCTTTGTGAAGCTGCCCTCCGCCGGTCGCAGCAGAAGGGTCCTCCTCATGCAGGTTTTCAGGGGCACGGCCCTAGGTCATCGAAAATAAAAGCCACAAGTCACACATTTGGCATAACAAACACGCACAAACGGCAAGGGCACTGATTGCACTTTCCCACTGTCTGCTCTCATTCAGGAGGATGGCTTCCGTCAATCGCACTGGCATCATGCAGAAAGCGAACCGGAATCGTATCCAATCCGTTTTGCAACCCATGTGCAATCGCGTCGAAGTTGTACCCAAACCGTGTTTCGAGGCTCTGGATACGCTTTGGCTTCCGACGGGCGCACTGTGAAGAGCTCTGCTTGTCCAAAGAAGCAAGCAACATTGCAACAAAATCGAAACTCTGAACGTAACGGAGCTTTAGCCAACTTCGCAACAAAGCCACTCATCCGTCGTGGCAAAGCCTTGTCGGGAACATATCCGAAGCAGAACCAGAACATAAGCAAAGTGTTAACATCCGGACAAACCCATGCAAGGGTTTATCGCACAAGTACATCTATAACCGAGCCCAAACCATGACAGAAACTCACACAGGATCATGGAATATGCTATGACACCGATAAACGTAGGGTATAATACCAGTCTCCCGGTCCCTCACAACAGTCCTTTGTGTGAATACATGAAAACCCGAATAACAATAGCAATTCCAACATTAGTTTTAGCAATGAGAGCTGGCCGATGCGCCACTTCGAAACTCTCCAGTCCCGGGTTTGCTGAATGTCGGCGTGACGTGTGATTCTGGTGGCGCAGGCGTAGTTATGGTGGTGGTTTGGGCCGGGGTTTAGGATTTCGGATTTAGGGTTTGGGGTCAGTCCAGCAATGAAAGAACGTCAACAAGATAATCTAACAAACCAACTCCTTGGATACATTCTTGGCAAATTCCCACTGCTGGTAGACATTGCCCGCATCGCAGGTCCTGCCACGCAATACACTGCAGATCATGGAACGTCTGGGGGACTGAGGGTGCAATCGGGACTTACAAAAGTCCAAAAAACATCCATAAACTTGTGGTCAAGACCTGGCAGGTACTGGCAATGGCTACTATCGAGTGTCCCGGTCGTCAAAGGCCGCGTGCTCGAGTCCACGGTAGTCAAAGTCCGTCCCATGCACGTCACATGTGCATTATACGCATCACCCCCTGACCATTTCACCCCGGCCAAGAAGTTATCACAGTAGGTATACGTCACCGTGTACTCATCGCTGTCCCATGTTACATGCGGTGGCATAACCGGTGCGCAACAAGTGAAGTTGTAGTCGGTTGCGATATCAAATACATTGAAATCCATTGAAGTGCTCTGCAAAGCCAAACCTGACGGACAATTCACAACGACTGATGTGGCGTGTTGGGTCTGGTCATAGACTGGATCCTGGCAAGATGCCCCGTGATCGGTCCAATCCTGGCTTGCGCCGATACGTACGCACTTGTGCCTGTTTGGATAGCCAAAGTCGTTCGTGGAAATCGAGTTCAGGAGGCCGTTGGGTCCGCAATTGTTGGCATTCTGCGGGCCACGCTTGAAGCGCCTGCCATGCCATCTGTCGGAACTGCTGACGGCCATCGTCGGCATCTGAAGGCACTTCCCGGTAGCTTTGTTCTTGATCATGCCACCATTGGCACCCGAGATGTCCCAGAAGAAGGAGCTGTCCGTCAGTTGGCTTAACCTTGCTGTCAGGGCTGAAGGGAGCAATATCCACATAAGCCATGTGCAGTTAAACGAGCTTAGTGCCCTCAAGAAGGCCGCTGCCCTGTTGAACACTGTGATCACTCAATTAAGCACTTGACCCTAAACCCGAGAAACTGAAAAGCAAACAGATGGTGCTGATCCGGGCCGAGTACTTGGACTGCCGCAACTGGACGGATGACGAACTGTCATTACTGTCATACAAGTAATAGGGCTGCTCGTCCTGCTGGCTGGACGCTCATGGCTGATGGCTCGGGTGCTTCAACACCAACACTTCGCTTCATGGGTCGTGCGCTTAGATGGGGACTGTCCTCCACAGACTGCTGGTGGGCCAAGGCCCAACCATGTGCAGGGACATACCACTTCAGAAAGCCACCTGCTGGTGTGGAGGCTTAAGAAACTCCAATACAAGTCTGAGACCCCACATAGAAACCACACACAGACAACCGCTTTTCACGTTCTTGCATGTGGCGTCAATGCCCGGTCCTTTACTCCACAGCCGGGGTGGAAGGCTTTATTTTTTACTTCGGTGCGGCTCGGCTTTGGTTTGGCTTGGCTTGGCTCGGTACGGCCTGGTTTGGTGAGCCAAGCCGCGCCGAAGAAAAAACGAGCGAGGACGGACGTTTCTGCTTTTTTCTTCGGTGCGGCTCGGCTTTGGTTTGGCTCGGTTCCCTAAGCTTGGCTAGCCAAGCCGCACCCAAGAATAAAAACTAAGCCAGGGCGGAAGGGCCATTTTTTTCTTCGGTGCGGCTCGGCTTGGGTTTGGATTGGCTTGGTTCGGCCGCCAAACCGCAACGAAGAAAAAAATGTCGAGCAGGTATTGTATATGTGAGTCTGTAAGTATAAGCTATTCTGCAGCTTGAGTTTACTTCCGAATTATGATGCACATATTATACATTCTATGTACGCAACATGGACATGCTACTAACACACGCCAGGCCAGACTAGGCCAGGCCAAGCCGAGCCCAGCCGAGCCGCGCCGAGCCAAGCCATGCTGCAGACGGGAACCAAAACAACAGACATTGGCGGAGCTTTTTTTTCTTGGGTGCGGCTTGGCTCGGGATGGCTTCGCTCCAAGTTAAGCCACGGCGTCCGAGCCAAGCAGAGCCATGAGGCCTTGTATCTCCTTTGCATCTGGGTAAACCCTGATTGATCATATCAACTATCTCCCCATAAATCTTCACCGTGGGGGCATTCATGGCGCATTTTTGCTGCACAGGGCCAGAAGTTTTGTTCAACAAAATTACAACGAGTACACTGACTGCAAGTTCCGTAACAGCTTACCTCGACACTTTACCTTAACAAGAGTCTTGCTCAGGCAACGGAAACACCAAACCAACACAGCACCAACACCACCCCTCAAACCGCCGCCACTGTCAAGAAATGTCAAGAAGAAGAAGAAGACTGACAAGAACCAGAGCCACAACAACACCACCGGCAGCAGCAGCAGCAGTGGCCACAGTCAAGATGGAAGTCTTAGAGCTGGGGCGTTGTGTAGAAACGGTGGCGCATCACAACATGATCTTGTTCAATTCCTGGTCAGGCGTCTCATGTTCGTTCTAGACCAGACGGATATCTGCCACGATTGAAGACAGCGCCTGGAGAAGATGAGTTGTATACTTTGGTCACCGGGCTCAGCTTGCCAGAGTCTTCCTGCATAGCCACCGAGACATCCTCGGTGTTGAGGTTTTCAGGTTGAGCGCTCCGGAAACTCCGGGTACTGGTTGTGAATATGATGGCGGAAATTATCGATCATGGATGGGCCTGGGGAGCCGGTTCGGGACTTGTGCTGCACCATCACTAACAGCAGCAGCAATCGCAATGCTCATCGGCTGGAAACCCTAAACACCTGTGGAAAACCGTTACGGAAGCCTTTTTGCAAGCCATATCGCACCGCTTCTGGAAAGCCCTCACGGAACCCCAAGCCCCTTCGGCTGTCAGGCAAAGGCTTCAAGGCTCTACCTGCCAAGTTGCCCAGGGTCCGCCAAACATGCCAAGCTGATGGAGCTCCTGTTCAGGGCGAAAGGGCTTCAGGTTTGAGCTGTTTCAACTTGCTAGGGAAGTTAAAGCTATGCCATGGGAATAAGCATTCTCGCCTCCTTACCAAGGACCCGGAGCATTAAACCTGCCCTATCGCAGAATGCAGGCTCTTTCAAGTTCAACGGGTGCACTGGCAGTGAATTCGAGGCCGAGACGGGCTGCCGTTGAGTTGGCAAACGCGAATCAGTCTTGTGGTGGATCTGGCACTATGGAACTCCGTGTCACGGGTTTGCATGAGCCTTTTGAAGGGTGCTGCACCCCCCACCCTGCTCAGTGGCAGCGTTCTTTTTTGGTATCCGGGTTCTTTGTGCAAGCTTGCTGCGGGCCTGGAACATTGTCGGCAATTGCGAGAACAGGGGGCAAGTTCCGACTCATCTTCGGATAAAGTTGCTGTCTTTGTCTGCCCAGGCTGCATCCAAAACTATGTTTTGCATCCTGAAGCCAATCGTATTCTCAAGAACGAAACACAGGCCCCCAAAAAACACCAAAGTGCATTTCGGCGTCCTTCGCCGGGTGGCGGGACTCCGGCACGAACTTCAGCTGCTGGAAAGCGAGCTCTCCTCCTGAAGGCTGCAGCTGCCGGAGAGCAAGTCCGCCTGACGAGCCAAGGTCTGCTCCTGGCCAGGACTTTGAGTTTTGGGGCTTCCATGCATCTCCCGCCGCCCTTAGAAAGCACAGAATATGAAAAACAAACGAAACGATCTGGATTACTGACTAAATGCTCCATCTAATTCATGTGCCTTCAACTTCTGGACCCATGCATGAGGCGCTGGTCTGAATGGCTGCACTCAGGTCCTGCAATCGGCACGGAAAACTTCCACTTTTTGTCCGCAACATCCACCTTTCAACTGTGAAGCCACAACAAACTGCTACATGAGTTTTCCACCGAATGGCAACTGCTGCGACTGCGACTGCGACCCTGACCACCACTACCACTACCAGTACGACTACCACTACCACTACCACTACCACTACCACTACCAGTCCACTACCACTACCACTACCACTACCACTATACCACTACCACTAACACTGCGTGAAGGTTTGGTATCGTTGATGTTGTATATAGTCGCTCACCTCACCGAGCTTATTCACTGGTTGCGGTCGCCCTTGAGAACGTCAGTGGTTCCACAAGCTCTCTGTCACTTCCCTGCAGGCAAACTCGGACCGACTGTTTTCTCGCCAAAGATACGCGACGAGTTGTCTGTGCACGGGGAATGGCTCGAATCTCTAGGTCGACCACAGGCCACTGGCTGTTGCTAGCACGGCAATAGGTGTTGTGCCTTTAGCATAATCTTGAGCCAAAGTTGCGTTGCATGCGGAACAATACAGATTAGCACTGTCACGTGGCCCGGCAAGCGGTGCCATGCGCAGGCGGTTCAGACACAGTCCGCAAGACGGTGCCTTACTCTATGTACATGAGGATTCATGACATCGCGCTCATAGCTCACATAGGGACACCTACGAGTCGGACTAGGTATCGACGTCCGTTCGCACCCCCCATGCGTTGTGCCTCGGGCACTGCTCACCCGGAAGATAGTCGCGCATGCACAGAAAAAGAAAGTGTATCCGCCGCAACTTTGGTATGATCGGATAAGAGCCTGAATTCCCAATTAGACACGTTGTGACACTTCTCTACGTCAGTAACGATCCCCTGAAATGACATCGCTGGATCAGAAAGTCACCGAAGAAAACGGCGGTGAATGAAGATCACTTTCACATAGCCAGTGTCACAGAGCTGACCGCAATACGGACATTTTCATCGATTGTCCCGTTCCCATCGTCGAAGCCTGTGGATCCCAGCGACGGAGGTGATCTTCTGGGTTCTTGGCTTTGCTTTTGCCTTTGTGTCCCCTGTATTCATGGAAGGTGTTGGCATTCACAAGGAGCCCGACGACTACTTCCTGTGCCTGACGAAGATGCTTTGGGAGCGGCAGTGTGTGTCACACGATTACGTTTCTCTTGTGTGAGGCTCGCGTCCATGGTCGGTGTTTGTCCTGCAGCCATGGAGTCGGAAGAATAGAGATGTTGTAGTGCTTGATGTCCTTGATGGATTTGTGGGTTCCTTTCCTCATCAATCTTCCGCTTGGAACTCTATCAACCAACTTGGCTGGAACTTGAATGTTGTGATCGACGATCAAAGCGATACTCTGGGCAGATGAGTCCTGCAAGCTTTGCATGAGAAGGATGCCCACGGGATCGATACACAGAAAATCGGTCGGTCCAGTCGGTGTAGGACGTATCAATGAGAAAGTCGTGTACATGCTGAACTTCAGAATGATCTGGCAAAGTACATCCAAGCAGCTATACTGCATCTTCTTCGCGGTTTGTCCTCTGTTGATGTAGGTTGCGGGGTTGCGGGGTTGAAGCTCTCCCTCGTGTAGCCCATCTGGATCGATCCTCGAACCAAAGCTGATAGAATCTGGTTTGCCCGGAAGCGTTTCAGCATATAATACCCTTCAGGATCTTCGGCATCTGCTTTCTGACGCGCGAATTCAAGAATCTTCTCATCTATGACTTCTTTGCTGACTTTTGTCTCTGGGTCGACCTGCGCTAGAACACCCTCCGAGAACGTCACCTGAAAGATCCGATGCGAACCAAATTACTCCCAAAAACGAAATTAGCCGAAAAACGCGAATATTTTTTTAGGCGCAGAAGATTTACTCGCAGAAAGTTAGTCACATGCGAGTAAATTTGGGGAGTAAATTTACTCACATGTGAGTAAATTTGGGGAGAAAATTATGGATAATAATTTTGGGGAGTAGATTTGGGGGGTTAAAATTCAGCCGCAAGCACGAAAAAATGTGCTTTAAACAGCCATACACATACATATGTGTGTGTGTATATATATATATATACAGTATATACACATACATGTGTGTGTGCATATCTATATACATACATGTATGCATGCCCGCACACAGAAACACACACACACACACACAGAGACAGACACTGTTCTCTGCAGTCGCTGCACTCCGGCTGTCCTCGCATCTGCGAACATCAGAAGATAGACATGTAACATATACGCAGCTCCAGAGAGGAGAGAGCTGCCCTCGACCCTTGGTTGGAGAGCTTTAACCAAAAGTGACAAACTCTATATATATATATATATATATGTACATATTTTGGGGTGCATAGTTTGGGATACACAGACAGGGGAGGTGGCCTCGACCCTGGTCTCGTGCTTTACCTGAACTCTGCCACCCAAGCAGCTGCCGGTGGCTCCACTGGCCAAAGGAAGTGGAGAATGAGGGCGGCGGGTCGAGCACCCAGCTGGCTCCAATAGTGGAGCCAGCAAGCATTGTAGCAGGTGAGACAAACTGTCCAGGCGTCGTGAAACGAAAACAGGCCTTGGCAGAGCAAACAGTGTTCAGGCACAGCACTCCAATTCCTGCACCGATTATTCCACTCATAGACCCTGTGGTCGAACACGTTCTCGCTTGGACAGCACCTGCGCACAAAGACATGTAATGTTTTCTCCCTCCGAGACATGCTGTTGTGGTCTGTGCTTCACACTTCTCTCTCTCTCTCTCTCTCGCTCTCTCTCTGTCTCATGTCTTGGCCACACAGCTGCCGACAAGGTTCCTGACCTCGGCGACAGAAAGGCACAGTATGCATGCTATGAATCTGCTGTGTGTCTGTGTGACATCTGCAGCTCTTGCGAGAACAGCCGCGTTTGCCAAGGCAAGCACGCAGATTTTTTTCCAAGCACAACAGCATCGCTATGTCGCTGCGCTGTCAGACAGAATTTCACAGAGGACACACTTGTGCCTCTCTCGTCGCCTATAGGGGAGAGAGAACTGTGTGAGACCTCGACCCAGACGCCGTGGAGGCCTCTACAGTGAGTTGGTTGATTGATTGATGTGACAATGAACATGGCAGTTGCTTGCTTGATGTAACCCCTCTCGGCGAGGTGACATCGACCCTGTTCTCAAGGTCGCGTCGCCTGGGGACGAGGTGACCTCCACCCCGTGTTACACACACAAACACTCAGTCCAAACAAGGCCTCTTCGGAAAAGTTCGACCATGTGGGATATGCTCGCACTGCCCGGGGCGTGCAGAGACACAGCGGGCTGTCAGCGGGCACGTTAGCCCATGCGTCCTGCTGTCATACGGAGAGCAAAAGCAAACAAAAACTGTCTCTGCTCTGCGTGACAGCTCCCAGACCGGCAGGACGAAGCTCCAGCTGCAGTCGCTTAAGGAGCTGGGTGCTGCGGGAGCGCAGATCCGCGTCGGCAAGGGCACTTCCGTCAAGGCCGCCTATGCCTCAGAGAACAGGACGGATGTTAGCGTGGGTGCAGGGCCTTTGCCGGAATCCACCACGCTAGGTCTGCATTCGTGTCTCGCCCAGACACCACGGTCACCGCAATCGTCGGGAGCCTCAACCTCAGCGCAAGCTCTCGTGCAAATGCTGAGGTAGGGGTGGCTCTGTCGAGCATCCTGACTTCCGAGTTCAGCACTCGCTGGCTGGATTCGTTTGGCACTGAGTGGAGCAAGACCCTCAAGCTAGATGAATTTGAGGCCGCTCCCAGGCCGAAGGCCCGTGCGAAGGCGAAGGACAGAACACAGCCGACCGGAGTGTCGCGGCCTGAGTGCCCTCCGAGCGCGCTGCTGCACTTATCCATTTTGGGGTGGCCAAGAGGCACCCAGCTGGCGAGCGTGCACTCAATGGGGCGGCCTGACGGCGCGTGCCCAGGAAGGAAGCGAGTGGCATCCAGGTCTTGCTTGCGCCAGCTGCAGAAAAAGTTGCGCCAACTCCTGGCTGCTGGTAGACACGCACTTGCAACGGGGCTAGCTCCCCGTGCCCACAGACAGTGGCACAGGAGTCCGTGCTGGTACGGCAGGCGGGCACAGAGCAGCCCAGGGGCAAAGGCATTCAGTCGACCCATGCGCCATTTGTTGGGGCCAAGAAGCACCCAGCTGGCGAGCGTCAAAAGTAGCGCTAGCGCGGCTCGCTGCACTAGGAATGTGATCATCACGTTTCGGAGCCGGACTCCACCGCAAGGTTTGCTCCATGGCATGGATGCTACCACCTCCACAACTATGAGTCCCGCTGCTGGGACACAGCTGACCCGGAGTGCTTACCTTACATACTACTACTACTACTACTACTACTACTACGACGACGACTACTACTACTACCACTACCACTACCACTACCACTGCCACTGCCTCTACCACTACCACTACCACTACCTCTACCACTACCACTACCCCTATACCGCCACTACCACTACCACTACCACTATTTTCAATTGAACGCTGCGCGAGCGTGCTCTGTGCTTTGCGGGCGACTACCGCTTTGGCACTCACTAATGGGTTAAAACCAACCTCGGCTCGATTCTGAATGGCAAGCGCAAAAAAGAACCCATCAACCCACAGCATAAACCAAAACAAGGAAGGAGCAAAGCCAATCCGAAATGAGCCTGAGCCTAAAGCCTGTGGACGGCCTGCGAGTGTCTTGACTCTTGGCCTTGACGCGGGGCGGGCCATGCCCACCTGTTGTGGGGTCCGGCCTTCCCGCGCACAGGCACCCATGGTCTGAATTCTTGCCCGCTAATTTTGGGCCAGCACCCACCCTTAAGCCAGATGTCGGCTTCGCCGGCGTTCCAGAAAAAGTGAAAAGCTGCTCCTCAGCACGCTTCTGAGGCTGTGCTTGCGGCCGGGCAGCCGGCCTTCAACAGAGGCTAAGCGGCCTGAAATCCGACACGATCATGAACACAGGCTGTGGCAGGCGGCACGAGGGGACTGCCCATGCGAATATCGCAGGTACCTCCTTCATCCGTTTTTGGAGCAAGGCCAGTGGCACGTTTTGCTCCGAGGCCTCGTGCTAGCCACCAACCGTGAAGTAAAACGAAACACAGAAACCGCTAAAAGCAAGTAAAAAAGGGAACGAATCCTGATTTCCAAGGCCAATCAGCCCCTATGGAAAAGAGTTGCCTATGGCTTGAGCAGTTGCTTCACTGCTTCACTGGACAATTCACTTGACTGTCTTTGCAACCTCCGTCACCCTCAGTGTGAGTCACTGCGTCCAATACTCACGAACTGGCAGCCGGTGGGTCGTACTCAGAAGAGCCGTCTCCCAAAGTTCTTGTCTAGTGGCGTCCCACACTAGGTAACTCCGGACTGCCAGCGATGGGCCGTAAACAAGGCTGCTCGTTGACCAAAGCACATAAGCCGTCACTGCTAGCACTGCCTGACCTCGTCAGTAACAGGACAGTAACGAACACAACTGGGAGGGCCGTAGCCGAAGCCCGCCACCCTTGGCACAGCAAGCGCGTCCGCTTTGCGACTGTACCCAGATGTGACGTGGAGCCGTACCAGAGTGCTGGGTCAAACTGACTCTCCGCGACTGTGTCGCTTCCTCCTGCCGTGTAGGTCGGCGCAAAGCACCTAGCTCCAGACTTGGGCTCAGGCGAAACTCGGGTGTCGCACGTAGAGCCGTACCAGAGGGGAAGCCACCGAAGGGTTGAGAACTCCAACACTGACCAGCAAGTCGCGCTTTGGTACCTGTTTAGCCACCCAGCGTTCCACGAAAGGAGCCCGACATTGCGTCTTTGCTGTCCAGCGCGGCGAGAGGCTGTGCCAGATGCCGAGTTGTTAGGCTGTGCCTCGAACTGTCTTTCCGCGACTGCGTCGCTTCTTTCCGGCATCGCTGTGCTAGAGCTCCCAGACGGCAGACAAGTGTCATGTCGTTCTTGCTGATATAGGAAAAATTGTGTGAGTGCGCTGTAAGCATCAGCTCCGTCCGCTGCTTTCATCAAGAGACCGAAGCCTAATGACTCCCTCCACTGCGCGGAAGTGGAAACCCTACCGCCTACCCGGTGATGCAATGTTTGAATGGCGGATCAAAGCGGCACCTGTAGCAAAACGGAGAGGCACATGGCTCGGAGTAGGCACAAACCCTTACTGTTCGGAAAAGGAGCTTGGTCGGGACCTCTAGTACAGAAGTTGCGCCCCAAGCCTGTTCGAAAGCCTCTCAACTGCGCGGCCGCTTGATCACTCGTGGCGGCTACCACTACCACTACTACTTCCACTACTAGTACTACTACTAGCACCACTACCGCTACCAATGCCGCCACCACCACCACCACCGCCACCACCACCACCACCACCACGATGAGCACCACCACCACCACCACCACCACGATCAACAGCAGCAGCAGCACCACCACCACCACCACCACTGCCCCTGCCCCTGCCACTGCCACTGCCACTAAAATACTTTAACGACAACCTCTCTCCTGCCCCTGTGCTCTGCAACCCAGCAATCATGCAAACCCTTGACAAAACCGTTTAAGTGATAACTGCAAAGAGAAGTAACCGTTATTGTCATGGCAGCGGACCCTTCGTAGGCCGAACGCTTTGCGCTTGCTTGCAACTTCCCTTCTTTGCGCTTGCTTGCAACTTCCCTGAGGCCCAAGCCATGTCCATGCCAAAGATGCAGTTTCCCCCTTCAAAATGCCACAGCTGGTCCTGCGCAGGCATTCAGAACGAACTGCCCTGCCAACTGTGGACTTCTCGGAGGCAAGCTTGACACTGCCGTCACCAGCTTCCGAACTCCCACGAAAGGACAACAGGATGGGCTGCCAGGCAGACACCCAAAACCCTAAACTTGAAACCCTAAACCCTAAACCGCTTAAACCTCATATTTTAAACCCTGAACCCGAAACCCCAACCTCAAACCCTAAGCCAAAGCTATCCGCCAGTCATGACCCAGGCCTGCACTGCCGCACAGCTGGTCGTGCTGACATCAGCGCCACTGCCCTGCGATGTGGGTCCACACCAAGAGCATCTTGCACTAGGGATCAAGGCTTACGATTTAGGTGTTAAAATTTTCAGCGTTTTTGTGCGAACTAGCTGCTGCTTTGGATGAAACTTCCAAGAAGTAGAAATGTTCAAGCTGAACGCATAGTGGTTGCTTCAAGATAGGATTGGGAGCGGTCCTTGCTTCACAATGGATCTCGGACTCAGCCCCATGACAGGAACTACACTGATCACGGTTGGGCACCCCTCACTCCTACACGATGACTGGTAAAGACCATGCTCACGCGTCATCCGCAATTTTTGGTGGCCTGCACCAGGACACAACCAGCATCCGAGAAAAGCATTTGTTTTTCCTGGGCTGTGACTCAAGGTCTTGCACGCAAGGGAGCATGGACAAGCCAGGGACCCAACTTTGCATCCGTAGCCACCACCAGTATCACGGTAGCACTGCAGCTACGGAGGCCAGCATTAGCAGATAGCTACCAGCAACAATGTCCATGACTGCACACCTCCAGGGTTGCTTTGACATCGCAACATTAAGCAGACACTCGGAATCACTCAACCTTTATCACATCCAACATGAAACCCACAATCTCCAATCCAAAGACCACTTGGGGACTAGATCAGTTTTCGATTCTCAGTATTTCTAAGTCGCCGAGTGCTCCACCAAAAGTTCCCTTTTATATCACAAAGACTTAGAGTCTTGCAAAACCTGGGAAAGGGGATGGCCAGTCTTCCGCCTAGCAACTTTTAATTCGGATTTGCATTTTGCCACAAATGGCACGAGCAAACCCGGATGTTGGAATTGGGGGTATGCTTCGGTGCTTGCATTGGGGAGGCTTCGGGGATGTTGGAGAAACACAAAGAGGCTGCTACAGGATAAAGCTCAAAACAGAAATCAAACCTCCAAGAAACGCAGAAGAGGAAAAAATGCACCAGTCAACGCTCAGAGCATGGAAGATCCGCAGTACTCACAGTACTCCAAACGAAGGAGCCCCCGGGCTGTCTGGAGAGCATCATGCGTGCCGAAACAACAAAAGCTGGAAACATCAGTGTCCGTCAATTCTCCTTCGATGGTGCGCTTTTGTTTGTGCGATGTTGAGAACTGAGGAGTTGTCAAATGCGAACGGTGTTTAGAGTCTAGAGGTGGAGGCTCACAACGATTTTGATTTCTCTAGGGCCAGCTCAAATCCCTCTACATGCTCCCAGATAAAGGCCACTGCCACGGCTCCAGCTGCAGCGCATCTGCGGTGCAGCTGTCAAGCCAAAGTGAACTCTGGCCTGAGCTCCCACACAGTCTGAAGTAAACCTTATTCTAGCAGAACTGAACCATCTGTCCAGACCCCAGCAACATCAAAAAAATCACCTGAATCCAGTGTCGAACCAACCATAAGGCGAAACAGTTGGCAAACCACTGGCGCTGTTAGGAGGTGCTAGAGCTAATCATGGTTGTCATGGTGAAGCAGCCATGGTTGGAATGCTGCTAACGCTCATTTGTAATGCGAGGCACTGCTGATGTGTCACTGATGCGTTAGTTCTGGTGGTTGCGATGCTCGCCAGAACACAGCTAAACCTGTTCTTCTCCGAGCTGCGCTGAAATAGGCACATGTTCTGTTCAGGCTTCTGCGCGCGCAGGAACAAGTCGGAATCCTCTCCAAGAAGCTCCAGGTTCAGAACTGCACGGCTGTTGTCCAACTAGAAAGAATAGACATCTGTTCTGAGGAATCGATGGAACAGGAACAGCCTCATAAATTTCAACAAGATCGGGTTTGCCAGTTTAAGAACTCGCAGTTGATGGTCACAGTCGCTACAGCCAAGGTGCAACAAAATCCTGCCGAAACTCCCAAGAGCCCACTCCAGCAGACCCAGAATGCCAAACGACCCCTGATCCCCGATAGTCCTGCCAGAATGCCTCCTCTTCGTCAGAACTGCAGTCCCTTTTCAGGACGATTTGCGTTGAGCCGCAGGCGCGCAAAACCTGTCGCTCCTGAAAAGGTCAGAAGGTAACGGACAAACTCTGTGAACGCAACCGCAATGCCGATCCAGGACCATAAACAACGTCAATGCCTTTTGTGTGACCTATGGAAAACTTCAACCTCTCGCGACAATAGATGGTCAGAAGCAGAGATCGAGAACCAAACACTCTGTACCAAACTCCGCGCATTCAACACCAGCTCCTGCCCGATTGCATTCTGCAGTTGCAGAACCAATACCGACCTCTGGGGGCATAGTTGGCCGCATGCCAGTTGAAGCTTGTGAAACTGACACTCGCATAGGCTCCTAACAACTTTAGGTTATGTGTTTTTGCTGTCTTACAGCTTGCGTCTGCACTTAAAATTCGGAGCAGGAGCACCAACAACTGAAAACCATAACTGGACGACACCAGAAGGCCAAACAGTTAGGTGGTTTGCTAGCTTCATAACACTTACCCCCTCTTATATGGTTCTCGGAGTATACATGAAAAGACCGGATTGAAGGCTTCCGCTCCGAATGCCATGAGGGGTGGCACCTTGTTGGCCAGCTGGCCGTTAGACAGCCCGGACCCGAGGCGCTTGCGTAGGTGACCTGGATTGTGGCTGCCTCTCAGGCCTTTGGCCTTTTGCATGGGTTCACTCCAGAAAAACTACAAATCGCGAGCAACCCAGGTTTTTGGGTTCAAAACATGAGAGGAAAACCCCATACCAATGTCTCTCAAACGAACGCCAGTGAAACTCCTCAATACGCATTACTAAGCAAATCGAAAACAACCGGAAGTCTCCCAAGCAAACAACAAACGCAAAGCGGCCTTAATGGAGTCCTGCGAGTCTCCCAAGGAAAGCGCACCCCGGATTGACCAGACATACTCCCCTTCTTCCCAGAAGCAACCAAGTCAGAAGGCTCAGCAGTTGGCTGGCTTCATTTTTGGACGATACTTTTCCGACACCCTGCGCAAAAACTTTCACGATTCTCCAGCCCAGGGAAACTTCCATTCAAGGGTCCCTGGTTTCTTGGAGCTCCCACCTGCACGAGCCGGTGCTCCAGGAAGTACACCTGTCGGGGACGGTGCATCCCTTCAGCTTCGAGCAAGTTTGCATGAAACTAGCGATTCTTAGGAGCGAAATCTTTACGGGAAGATATGTCTAAGAATAAAGTGAAGCGTGAGGGAACTACTGCTTGTCCTAGAAGGCTGCACGAGACGGGCATCTTGGGCCCAGCGTGGCACAAACTGCTCGCCAATTCCAACCCTGCTCAGACCTAAAGCAAATTTCGAGCCCGACATGCCCTGTCTAAACCGCTAGTGACAGGGCTCTTCTTGCAGATTAGGTGGCAAATCATTTAATCTTTTACGGCATGGTATGTAAAAATATACACACACATATATATGCATACACCTGTATATATACATAATATATATATATATATATATATATATATACACATATTTATTAATTTTACATACACATTTACAGATTATATGCCATTATATGCAAAAAACTCCAGAAACAGCAAGGGGAAAGCATTCAGCCTCCCCTCCCCGAAGCATTCCCTGCCAATCTGTCTAGCACCCTCTTATGATGAAGTGAGATGCTTTGCTCTTCCTTATGAGAGGGTGAGATGGTTTCATCAACTTTGTAAACAAAGCTAGGCACTAAGCACACAGCCTCGGGGAGGCTCACGCTGGAGAAGTTTCCCAGGCTCGGCGCGCCCACCTGTATGCACTCCTCGCAGGATTTGAACACTTCCAGCCTGGGGCTACGTTGCCTCGGCCATGAACCTGCAAAGCCTGAAGCTCGAAGCTGCAAATCTGCAACCGCCAAGCCGCTTCGAACTCCCAGAATCCTAGAAACCGGATCCCGCCACAACCCTCGAACAACTCAACTCTCCTGGCAGCTCAGGTTGCCGACGTACTGCCACGGGCCCAGCTCCTGAGTATCAAAATCAAAGCCAGCTCAACTTGGCCTGAGCCCGGAACTCCAAAGCTCTAAATCTTATGACGCAGGGCAAAGCAGTTGCAGCCTGATGTTCTACGGAGCAAGATTTTCGGAGAAGTAAACATGCCAGTACCAAGCGCAAATCAGAGGTACAGACCCGCGTTACAAAGCCCGCTAAAGGGGCTGCCAATCCAAAACCGCAAGACACCTGAGTGGGCATCCAAGAGCTTTTCAGCATTACCAGCGGTCCCTGCCCAAAAAAACTCCATGGGCTTTACTTCAGCTTTTGAGACGGAGCTCGCCAACCCACTGGCCGCTGACACATGTAAAGATGGCGCTTTGACGCGGGCCCTCCCACTTTCGGCCATCGTCCTGCCTGCAGGGCTTCTCCTAAACCAATCCTCAAGCGAAGGCTCCCCTGTGCCAAAGCTACTGCTGCTACGTATAAAACCATGGCATACATCAGATATCTTAATACAGTACAATAATTTGCCATAGTTTAGTCTGCTACTCTACTCCTACAATACTCCTCTTGCCACTCCCACGCTCTCTCTCTCTTCCTACTGGTGCTCTTGCCCCTACTCCTAGTCCTACTCCTGCTCCCATTCCTGCTCCTATTCCCACTCCTCTTTCTTCTTCCCAACTACGTGCGCTCTCCTCAGACATGTCATGGGTGCTTGCTGGCTTGGTTAAGACGACTGCAATAACGCTAGGGCTGCCACAGAACGACCTGAATAGAAGAATTCCCGCCCCAAACTGCCTTGAGAACATGCGAGTCGTGTAGTTGCAGCTGATAGATATCTGAGATGTGGCTGGGAACATTGCTGGCAAAGGCACCTCGCGACAGGCGTGGGAACGAATTTCCGGAAGGGCATCCCTCCAGGGATCCGAAAGCCCATGCTCAGGTTGGGTTTAGGGTTTCGGGCTAAGGGGTTTCGGGTTTGGGGTCTGAGGTTTCTGGCCCACCGACAAGAAAATCCTGCATAGAAGCACCGAAGCACCTTTTGCATGCCCTTGGTCGCATACTCGCTGGAGGCATTGATGTACTCACATCTAGAGCAGGTCCCAGCCTGCAGCTTAAGAGGTGCCACCCTACTTGGAAGGGCAGGGGACTTAGTAAGTAGGTTATAAGTAGGCTATAATTAGGATAACCCCACTTAGGGGACCTATAACCCCAATTATCACCTACTTACTAAGTCCCATGATCCTCTAAGTAGAACGCCTCAAGCAAAAGGCATCTCATGGGTTTTTGGTGTACGGGAGGTTATTGCAAAAAGATGCAGTGCACTTGTGGCTCGTCGATGTGCAACGCACTCGCCCTCTTCGCAATGCTTTATGGAGACTTTCTTGCCGCCTAGGACGCGGCCACCACAACCCTTGTTTCACTCCCTTGCTCCAAGCCCATTGTCCCCAAGCCCAGTTTTAGGGTAGAGGGTCCGTTTCAGGCCGAACTCTGCTGCAGGGAAGAAGCCTGCAAGTTGATTCACTGGTGCCCAAGTTTCTGACTTCAGGGTGCCAGGTTTAGACGGCACTTCACGAGTTCAAAACACTAAAGCCTATCCCAAACCCTGAATTTCACTAAGCCAGGGCTTGGATGACTGCTGTGAATTGGCGATGCTTCCCTCCTGCAGGGAGAAGGTTCAGACGATGATCCCTGACCAACGGCGACATTGAAGGGGGATAGACGATTGTATGCATACTTTACTAGACTGTACTATACTGGCCTAAACACATGTATTTTACTGTACCAAATAGTACTATACTCTACTACACGATACTGTACTACACTATACTATACCTACATTAAACTATACTACACTACACTTTTATATACTATACGATGCGACGCGATATGACACGATACGATACGAAACTATTCTTACTACACTGGGTCAGGCCGGTTGCCTCCACGCCCGAGATCTGCTGGAGCGCGTCACCTTCATGGTCGGAGTGTAGGATTGAGCATCGTTCGCCGAAGGAGGGGTTTAGGGTGTAGGGGTGTTATTGCAAATTTCACCGAAAGCTGTGTTATTGAGGTGTGCACAAAGACGATGATTGGGAATGACGAAAGCCCAGCTGCAAGCGTTGTACTGGTCCTCGAAGAGGCAACGAGGCACCTGGTGGCACGGTTGCTTCTGATTCTGGATTCGACTCTGCAGGCATTGCAGAACTTCTGTAGGATGCCGGCCCAGGTTGAAGTGATGCATACAAACTTGCTTGCGGGACGACACGGCGCAGAGGAAACTTGACAGAGGGTCTTAGTGGAATACCTACCGCAAGCCAATCGCTGATGCAGAGTAGGGTGTTCAAAACAAGCGCAGGCACATCGGAAGGTGTCAGGCTGAGGTAGCTCCGGCGCCGAATCTCTTTCCAGCACTTGTCCGGGTCGGCGATGCGGCAAAAGTCACCTTGGGGCGCGATGCCATACAGGTCGTTGACCATCTGCACGGCGAGCCGTTGGACGAATTCACAGCGCTCGAAGAGAGTGCCTTGACAGACACATCGCGAAATCACGATGCGATGGTTCATGCACAGCGACATGCCAAACTCTCATCTCAGGCACAGGTCTCCGACGTTGCGCAGAACTGGTAAAAGGCGCAGCTGGCGTTGGCATGACAGCCGGACGCGCAGTTCGAGAGGGTGGTGTCAAAGGACTGCGAGAGGACCGCTGTGTCCTCACAACCAAATTGGCAATTCAATTCTGGATCCCCATGTGTATCTGCAATCTGGAGCAGCTACTATGTCCAGATTCCTGTGAGCCCCGAAGCCGTGGCAACGCCAAATCAGGTACCAAGAGCCGTCAATGGCTTGCCCTCTATCCTCGTGTGTACATGCGAGCCTGCCTTGCACAGGGAAGGTTTGACAACCCCGCATGCAGTCCGATTGATTTCGATGATGTTACAAGTTGGAGTGGGAGGCAGCATGCCAAGAAGGATTCAGGGTTGAGAGAGTCCTCACAGGTGTAAGGCCCCGAGAAGATCTGCTGATCTTGGACCTTTCCCACGTTGTAGCCGCTGCTGCTGGGTACCTCTGTAGCTATGACGACGCCCAAGAGACACACAATTTGTGTTGATATCCAAAAACCACCCTGCACTCCGGGGCACCCTTTACATAGGTTTCAGCGGCTTCCTGGGGAAGACCAGGAGAGGTAGATCCTAAGACCTGGCCACCAGTCTACAACAGCTGTTTTACACTGCTGGCTTGGCAACTACTCGCTTGCCCGTACGCTTGTCAGATCAAAGAAAGAAGCTGCATTGCTTGTCCCTACACCTGCCACGAAAAAGAGGAAGCACCGCTGCCGAATACGGGGCAACCTTTCGCGACCTCTTCCTCAAGCAACATTGTCGCGAATCGCTGGCGATGCCCCGAGCCAATAAATTAGCCCAGGTTGCGCTGATGCATGCTTGAGGTGATGAAATTTAGTTTCCCAAACTTGGGCAAAGCCAACTGTCCCAAGCCATGCATAGTTAAGCTTGATTTTGCTGAACTATCACAGTCTGACGACCGCAGCACCCAGAAGCCTTGACAAGAAAGCCGACCCTGAGCCGACATCGCAAACCCGGACTTTGGTTGGGCCAGCTGCACATCAAAATGTGGGCTGAATCAAAGTTCAGAAGGCGAAAGGAGCAGGGCTTGAGGACACTTGAACTTTCACAGCTGACCTTAGCGCCATCCGCATTGGGTTCGGTGCTGAAACATCTCCAAGCAGAAATTGCGGGCCGCGCCTTCAGATCGGAAGACTGCAGCACAGGCGACGTTTGAGAATGCGCTTCCCCGAAGCACTCGCACGGGTGCAGGGAGAAATGCTCGGGGTCCTCACGGTGCGAGGGATATGTATGCTTCGCCTCCCTGCCGAAACCCAAATCTGTTCGCCGGGTCCTCCAGGGTGCCGAAGACAGCAGTGGATGAAGCGGTCAGCGAACAAGAGCGGACAAAGGGCTTCAGCACCGCCGGCTGCAACGCCTGGCATTGCCGTACGAGCATGTAATATGGGGCTGGTTTAGTTTACAGGGTTTAGGGCTTGGGGATTATAGGCTTTGGGTTAAGGGGCTCTGAATGATTCAGAAATCCCCTTCTGGCCCGTATAGAATTAGGCTACCCACGGCATCTGTAAACCCTGGATACCCTAAAACCCCAAACCCCAATCCCCAGGTGGAGCAGCCTTGGGCTTCTGCAAAACTGCGGTGTCGTTCAGCTCTGCAGGGAGGAACTCCAGCTCAAACTCCTCCACAGTTCTGTTGTCAGAGTATGAGGTCAACGCTGAAGATATCTGAAGATTGGAGTTTTGCTGCTGAGGGTTCCTGGCCAACCCACATACATCCCCCTCACACCCGAACCCTGAAATCCTCGTAGCCATTCTCGAGGGCATTGGCCACGACATCGCGGCCAGTGCAGGCCACGGCATTGCCGTAATACTCCGGAGCTTCCATGCTTCCCTTCTTGAAGTCCTGTAGGAGTGCGGCGGGTGGTGATGGGGCTGATGCCGTAGCAGCGGCAACAGCAGTCGCAGTCGATAGTAGTCCCGATGATGGCTATTGTAGCCACCACTACGAAGCACTGCGGTATCATGGCTAAGCGGAGTTGGTACTGCTTCGTGCTACTGATCTTCCCATGTTTCTGTTGGTGCTGACAGCTGTATCAACGTTTGGAGTGGGGCTCCGTGGAGGAGGCCTTGAAGGCTAAAGGGCCCAGGGTCAAGCGGAAGTGGTCCCAAGTGGCCGTTGTAGACATCGAAGCCAAGGTAAGTTAGGGTTCACAGGGCCTGGGAGTTGAAGGCTCGAAAGTTTCTCGGACTTGAAGGAAACGCCTGCATCATCTCCAGCTTTACTCCAAGTATTTCAAAGCATATATGTATAATGAAGTATCTGTATATGCATACATATATATATATATGTATTTATTTATCTATCTATTTGTTTATTCGTTTATTGTATAATATATATATATATATATATATATATAACAAATTAAAGATGAAATAATTATCCATCTATTCACCTCTTGAGAACCCGTGAACCAATGAATCCCAAAACCCCAGTCCGAGGCGTTCGTGTGCACCAGAAGCCAGGAGGCGTTCTCACATGCCTCCAAGAACCCACCGCCCCAAGCGTCCCCTAAACCCGAAACCCACTTTCTTCAAGCTCGATTTCCAGGCTGTACACTTCCGGTGAGCCTAAGTCCCTCCCAATGCCCTTCGATCGGAGCCTTGGGGAGCTGCATGTGCGCAAACTCTCGGAGAACGAAATGGAACTGCCGATCTTGCGTGGTTCCCGCGTGGGTATACGACACCTGGCTTGCTGAACGGCGCCAGGAATTGGAAGTTCAAAGTGTGGAGGAACTCCGCTTCGATTGGAAAACCCCGTATACGGGCCCTAGGGCTCAAGGTTCACAGCTCAGGCTCTCGGATTTAAATTTCAGATTGTGGGAGGCTTGTTACTTCACTCGAAGTTGGCTTGGATCAGGCTCTGCACAATTCATGGACATGGGTGGTTGTCAAAATTACGGTCCCTTCTTGGGTACCGTCAATAATAGGTGCCGTACTATAATAAGGACCCAAAAATGGACCCTTATATTGACAACCACCTACATGGCACCAGTCCGACCGTGGCTTTATGCTTAGGATACGGGCTGGGAGGTCCAGATTTTGGGGTTTCGGTTCCTGTAGGGAAGGGTTCGAGCAGTGCTGTGTCTAATATAGGAACCTGAATCAGAAACCCCGGGTCCTTATTAGGGTTCTTTGTATGGATCCTACTTGGAAGGGCAGGGGACTTAGTAAGTAGGTTATAAGTAGGGTTATAATTGGGGTAACTCCATTTAGGGTACTTATAACTCTACTTATAACCTACTTACTAAGTCCCCTGCCCTTCCAAGTAATGTCTCGCAGTTATAGGACCACGGTCTCGGGCCTCTGAGCAGCCAGGGCTTGCTGATCACAGCTCCATCCATCAATCATGTCCCAATAGAGTAGGATTCAACGGCTGATCATTCCTGGTCTGTTGAAAGTAAGTAGCGTCGTTCTACATTCTACACATGGTCGGAGCCGTCAGGATCCTCAATCAGCTATGATAATAGATCTTATATAACAATAGTAGCAAACATGAGAACAATATTCATAATAACAATACCAAAGATGCATGGGATTCGCAGACCTGCTCCTTGAAGACGTTTGACGGGGAATAGTCTCCTTGCACGTACCTTGGACGGGCACGTGAACTTTCCTTAAACGCGTCTCACACCGGACAGACGCAGCGTCCATGACGTGCCGGCTAACCTCCAACCACAACTCGGAGGGGGGCATAAGCCCACTTTCGATAGTGGGGTGTGAAACGATGAGCTCTGGAAATCAGAGCCAAACAGTACCGCACCTTCAGTGATCCGCGGGACCGGGTGATTAAAGATCATTGCAAATTTTGTCTTCAATGCGGACTGGTTCAACCTGTTTCCGTCAAATCCAGCAACCGCCTGATCCAGCGAAAGATCGGATGCATGGGACGCAGGGGTTCGACACACCCCCACTCCAGTGTACCTAGATAGACGGTCTCAACACGCGGGCTGCTAGTGACTAAGAGAAGACAGGAAGGGGAGAAAAGGTGTCAAAGCGCATCAAGGAGTCGATAAGGAACCCTGAGCGGCAGGCTTCCTGATTAAACCGGAAGTTACCGGCAAAGGACAAGCCAGAGAACGGACTGGGCTGCACTTGAAGTGCACGTTTTGGCCAGCGGGCCTTCTGAAAAGACCGCTGAGGCCGTTTTGAACTGGCTATCTGAGCCTTGACAAGCCTGCCCTTGCGTGAGGCCTGGCGGAGGGGAGAGACGGCAGCGTCCACGCGGAAGAGCCGAGACAGACACACCCAAAGTGGCAACCAAAACGAACAAATAAAGGGTGCGACTGTACATGGGACTTTCCGACAATAGGGGACCCTAATATAGTACCCTAAATAGTGGGATCCTTATTATAAGGACCCCAAAACAAGGTACCCCTAATTTTCGGAAACTCCTATCTCTATCTTACCCCTGGTGCTGCCCGGACAGCCGAGCTTCGACTGCTTTGGCTTTCATACAGCATTCAGCTTTGGCAACTTTCCCCTAAGCTCCGAGCCCTACCGGCAAAAACCCGCCACGCCCTGTTTCTCTGCCTGACACGGCACCATGCGCCCATGGCCGTGAGGTTCAGGTCCGTGTCCTCCTGAAGGCGAAGTGCAATTCGCGAATGCAGCCGCGTCTCATCTGCGAATAAAGGTCTTTGGGGTTTGCACTGCAAGGCCCACTGCAAGGCGAACACTGCTACACAGCGTCGCGTGCGGCAGTCCATGTGCGGCTGGCATCCGCTTTGCCAGCATCGCATAAAACTCGCAATCCTGAAACCAAAGCTTGTCCAGGAGTTTACCACCGTCCCTGTAGCATCTGCAGTCCTCGGAGCAGTTCTCTAGACGCACCAGCACCTGCCAACGAATCGAGCTTCGCTAGAAAGAGAAGAACTCATTCTAAGCTGCCATAGCAGGGATCTATAATAAAATAGAAAAACCCAACAAAAAGCCAGGAACGTAAAGTGTAACGTTGCCACCAGATCCTCCAGAAAGGTCGGGTGCACTAGCTACCAACAAGGATTCGATCTCTTTGGGAGGGCACATCCTGATTCGGTACAACAAGCCCAAATAGTGCCACATGGTATGTCGAGAACCGAAGCCACCCATTCCTGAGAGAGGGCCTGGCCAGCAAAGGTTTCTTGCTGGCCGTCGCTGACTATGGCACGGCATGTGCCGCTGCTGTCCTGGTCGGCAGAGGAGCATGGAGCACCATCAGTTAGCAGGAGCAGCAGCAGCAGCAGTAACAGTGGCACGAGTACGGACTGTGGAAAAGTGGCGCAGAGCCCGCCCACTAACAAAAGCTACGACTTAAACCTAGACTGACTTCATTTGCACACCTTGAACTTCAATCGGTTGTGGCTAGGCTCCACTCATCACTCAACCCTGGTCAAGCCATCATCCGGTCTGAAAACGTTGTGCTTTCGGTGGGTTTTCCGATATATTCACAATCATCCAAACCTCCTCACACTACTGGGATTAGGACCCAATCCAAAACTATAGGAAATGAGGACTTAGCTTAATTCGAAACTTCAGGGAGCAGGGATTAGGGAATGATAATTCGAGTCGATGAGGCGGCAAGGCATGATTGCAGGCCACCTCCGTAGGTTCTTGGCTCCAAAAGACATTGCACGGGCACCTACATATGTGCATCAGTAGTCTTGACCGATAGCAACGACAATCGCGGACGCCCGCAACTGTAACAGCCCCAACCCGGCAAACCCCTGCTGGCTTTGGTGTTCGGCCATAAACCCTAAACACTGTACCGGTTCTGGAGTTTGGCCTTACCCTGTCTCCTCTTGGATGCCTGCACAATCGGCCCTCTCGCGGCAGATGCGGAAACCTGGTGCTTCGTCCAACTTTTGCGAAATAATATGATTAAGTGGTGAAAACATACATATAAACAATACTAACCATAAGAAGAAATAGTGATACCATAAAATAAGCAAATCAATAGACAGATACATAAGCAGGGTAGCCGCGTTGCGATGGCAGCGCGTCTCTATGCTCACACACATGTCAGTGGCCAACTGGCCACAGAGTGAACGCGCCCTAATCCTTGCAGCTTGATTCTGCCAGTCAGCTTTGCTGAGTTCTTTATCATGGTGACATTCATGGAGCACAACCTGCCCCACCTCGAACTCCTGTTAATGCATGTTAATGCGTAGATGGCCAACAAGACCTGTTACGAAGAGTATCGGGCGTTCGGGGTTGCCTGCGGAGAGTTTTACCACAATGCCGATTAGTATCCCAGCTACTCATGCCGGATTTTGCCCAGACTGTCAAGCTGCAAACCTGATTTTCACAAAGCTCATGCCCCCAAGCTCATCGAAGGCCCCTTCAGACATCTGAAGCGCCCAAAACCCTGAGGACCCGGCACTCACTTAGGGAAGGCAGCGTCTTCCAGAGGAACAATCCTTCGAATCGATCCCAGAGACGAGTTTCGGCTTCGGGTCACGATGACGTTTGGGGCTTAGGGGTTTAGGGCTTGCGGTTAAGGGTCAGGGTTTAAGGGTTTAGGGTTTAGGGACCAATACTCAGTAGGATGTTTGGGGTTTAGGGCTTGGGGTTTAGGGTTTAGGGGCCAGTACTTAGGAGGGCGTTTGGGTCCTGAGACGTTGGTGGGGACCCAGCACGTGTCGTCCACCACGTCCAAAGTGAGCTGCGCTACTGGCAGGACCTCGGAGGAATCGCAAGGCAACACTCCCTAAACAAAGGACCTTTCGGAAGTCAATGCGACTACCGTCTTGGCTTTGTGTGACCACATTGCGTGACTGAAGCCCTCCATATCATCTTGTTGCTGCAATGCCCAAAACCCTTCGACATGGTACCCAAGAAAAAGATCCGCAAGCATCCAAGCTTGCACTCGCAGGTATTCGTATCTGCATGCATGAAGCCCAAACCTTGTCTCGGGCACCCCTAGCCGGTCTAATTATCTCGGGATATCTCGGGCCTTGTCGTACAATTGGCCGCCGAGCGCGATGCTGCAGTTGATCTGAGACATGGGACCGCATTAATCTGGGTTCTTACTAGGAAATTTTATATTAAGTTGTCATAGTAAGGCAACCCATTTGCATTTCCTACTCTACATGACTCTACATCCTTAATATGGTAACTGGGTTCTTAAACAAGTGCCTTGACAAGAACACGGTAATTGAAATCTTTCAGAACCCTGTGGTTGCTGACTTTGGGCCTTGGCTAATCGGCAGAAAACAAGCAAAGGCAGAAACTGAGTGCAGTGAAGTCAGGACATTTTTAAACCCAGAAGCCAGAACACTTCACGTTTTCCATCAAATACACTGCGGCCCCGACCTGTATCCGTCCACGACCCTCAGCAGAAAGGTCCAAGCCGGGGCTGCCTGGACGCTGCTACTTGGGGCTGTATCTGGCTTTCTTGGGAAGATGCGGGGGGTGGCCTCATCGTCAAGGGTTAGGGCTTCGGGGTTTAGGCATGGAGGGCTTATGAATGCGGCTTGCGGGTTTAGCACAGGTTGTCAACGGAGCCTCCATACCTTGGACGGCTCAAGGCTTGTAGGGTGAAGATGCAGTGACATAGCACCTTCAGCTTCAGTGGAACGAATCCGAGGCACTGCACCACTGTCAGAGACAACAGAGAACCCGCAAGTCCCATGTTGAG